CAACGTAAAGGCCTAAAGGAATTCTTGATCTCTCCCTCCCCCACCTGCCCAATTCTTCAAAAGATTTGCTGCTAAACTCAGCAGTGCCTCCATCCCATGGTGATGCGGGAGTTCATCTTGTTACACACATCACAAATTGGGCAGAGCATCCTCTCATCAGCCTGATAGTATATACTGCATCACAAAACTCATCTGAAAAGGTGTGTGCTTCATTATGCTTTCTCATAATGAGTAACAAGTTAGATTCCTCACTTCTACCATTCTACTGTTTGAAAAGGAACAGCTTGGTCTGGGGGGAGTGTTTTGGTTTTTTCTACTCTTGAATTTCTACATCTAAGTGTTCACCTATGTTCTCATATTACATCCAAAAGAAAATGAAATAATAATTTAGCAGCACCCAGGATCTATCAAAATACAGAACATTAAAAGGTGTTTATGCAGCATACCTAAAAGAATTTCAGAGCAAAGGAGTCTCCATTCCTCCTGTGGCCACAACAGAATTCTCACAGCTCAGAAAAGTTGTGTAGTGGGAGAGCACAGTGGTATTACCCAACCTTTTCCTCCTCCGAGTATTACAAATATAATGTAAATGGGATTGTATTTATAGCTGGTTTGAGAATCTCAAAGCCTCTAGCCACCACAAGGTGGTATATGTATCCTGTAAAAGGGAAACCATTGCTGCTAAAGGGTGAAAAGAGAATTCCAACGCTGAAAGTTGTCCTTTGACAGGGAACACATGGGTCCTTCCTGCACTTTAGCTCATCCATAAAAGCAAGTATTTCTTTTCTTGGCAACTTCTGCAGGACTAGAGAAGTAGTAGGTTAGTTTTCTGTATAAAGCAGAGGAAATGGTTCTTGCATTCTAGGAGAAATAAGGACTACGCTGTCTTTTCAGCCAGTAATTTAAGAATCCAGGACTTAATAGCCAAGTCATTTAAAAAAGCTCAAGCAAAGTTATATAACTGATGTGTTTTAGATACACTGAGCAATGTGTGTGTGTTATGCATTCTTCTCTCTGGCTAAATCAGTGACATGTCATTTCAACTCTTACTATAGAATTTAGATTTTTATGTTTTAATGACACACAGGCAGGGTCTACACTGCCCTACACAGCTCAGGTCAATGAAGCAGCTGGAGTGTTCCTCAACCTAATGTGCTAAACCACTTTGCCAGACAGCTTCAGCACAGTGTACCAACCTTAGTTCAACAGTCATCCTTATTCAAGCTACCCAACACGTTCATCTAATCTTGCAGAATGAAATTTTAGGTCCTCTGAGAAAGAATCAGCAGCTAACTTTTCTGTTCAGCACAAACCATGTGATGGCACTAGAAGACCAGTGAAAATATATGGTTTGAAAATAAGCTGGGTTTGGCACACAGGTAGGTACATGCTCTGGCTACTTTCAAAAGTTAAACTTTCTCCAGCTTGTCATAGCATGGTCTTTCTTTCCAAAAAGGATGGCTAGGGGTTTGGGCTCAATCCTGAATTGAAAATATATAGCGATCATTAGTCTTGTCTTTTGTCTCCAGAGATCCCTGATATTCACCAAAGTCAAAGTCTTCACTTAAAGCTTCTCAGAACTAACAGAGCATGCCAAAGCATGTTTTCTCACAAGCGGAATTAGATATGCCTGGGCCTAGTACCAAGAATGTCCTTGGAAGTTTGGATTCCCATGGCAGTGGGCACAGTGACAAGTTTAGAAAGGTTTCCTTTTGGAACGTGAACTTTCGATGTTCCTGAGAAGCACAGCCATATGGTGATACAGAAACACAGAAATTAAACGGTTCAGGTTAAGATTCTGTCTGCATCAATTAATCATTTGAATGGCACTCCCCAAGATTTGGCACAGACCTAAGCAGAAACATCACACTTATTAGTAACATAATTTCATTGTATAAACCAGCCCAGGTTTTTCAGTGGCTAAGTGTCTCTCTTCATTCTAATTCACTTGAGCCTCCAGTGCAAAAAATGCTTAGACCATTTGACTGCTTGTTCATGTAGCAATCTTTGAAAAGTAGCTAAACCTGAAAAATTGTAGACACAAAAAAATATTTTAAATTCTATTTCCTTACACTTAGAAATATCATATCTCTTTTTTTTTTTGTTTTTCCAGACAGCTGCCTGTGAACTTAAAAGGTATTTTAACGTAATTATATTTAATCAAATTATGAGTTTCATTTGCTGGAAGTACAGGCAACAATATAGTAACAGAGAAACTGATTCACAGTGGAAAATACAAAAGTGTCACTTTCTCTATATATTATACAATTAGTACGCTAAATCCTGGGTACATCATTGAATATGTAAATTGATACCTTCTCCTTTTCTACTTGACATCAGATTCTTAAAAAAGCTACTCATTGTTTCAAGAAGTTTCATACAATGGCCTGTGATTTTATTTACCTTGAGAAAAAAAAAAAAAAGTCTGCTTTGAAAACCAAAAGAAAAAAAAAGGAAAAAAAAAAGGAAAGAAAGAAAGAAATGCATTAAGCAATTGTAGAAGCAAACCAACCCAACTGGGGCACCACGACCAAAGCAAGCCTTGTAATAGTATAATGACCTTTAATGAGTGTCTGGGGAAACAATACAGTCCTAGCATAAAAGACAAAGGGCAAAACCCATCATGGCTCCACTGACACTAATTCAAAATGATTTTCAGAACAACTAAAGAATGTAAGAGAGGTAATCTGATCCACCAATCTGACCTCACTTTGATTCTGGGGCCCTGCTGCTGCCATTTCTAATTGTCAAACACTCTACATTTCACATCTGCTCATATTTAATGAAAAGCTGACTCTCACCGCCATTCTCTGAGTTAACTAGCTCTGTCAAGATGGGCATCATACGACCCCTGTGCACTGCAAAGAAAACACACTGACTTCCATTGAAGCCTTGCCAGTGAAACATTGCATGTGTGTATATATATATTTTAATTGGAAAAGAAAGGCTTATGCTGCTTTGCAAAGAGTGTGAATTGGTATTGATTTTCATACTTATTATTAACAGTCAAAGGTGACTAGTCTCGCAAGGGGAAGAGGGAAATCTCTTTTGATTTGATGGAGTGATGAAGGGGGGAAAAGACCCTTGGAAAGATAGGATGCTCAAAATTCTCAAAGCTGTCAATATCACTTATCCTTCAAAATGTAACATAGATATAACGTGTTTCCCAACAGTACTGGGGTTTTTCGTGGCAATAATACCATTATTGTGGAGGTTTTTGGCTCAGCAGACAACACAATCAAAAATGTTTACTTAATCTGCCTCTGTAGAGTCTTAAGTGAACTTGAAAGCTATGGTAAACCTACAAATTATGGGTTTTCTTTCCTTGCCAAACAGTGCTAATAGCAGAAATTTTACCCATTTGTATGGGACATATTCATTTAGCCTGGTCTGGATGCTGTTAACACCAGTGCTGGGACCCAACCACACACTCTCTGTACTAGTCTGTATTAATGCAAACTATACTAAGAACTGTGTTACTGAGGCTGTTAGGCTGTGTAAGTAACACTGCCTACAGTAATTCTCAATCCAGGAAGGTTTCTTGTTCACTTTTCTTAACAAAATATGGTTTGCTATGTTTTACTCTGATTAAGGTCCCTTTAAAGGAGAAAAATCCCTGTAACTTAGAATAGGACTTAAAACTGGGAACCATCTCCCCTGAGGTGATGCATGAGTTGCAATCAAGTAGAAAAAAAGGACAGAGTGCTTATACACAGAATATTTCTGTTAAAAATTCTCCAAAGTCCTATTGGAATCAGTTAAATTGAGTAATAAAATAAAATGCTAACAAAAATCACAGTATTGTTATATACTGCACATTGTGTACGGAAAAATAGTTCAAATGTCAAAATAGTTAAAGCAAAGTTATTCAACCATTCGGACTATATACTGCAAGACACAGAAGGTATCAAAAGGCAACCAGATGCATAATCTACCAAGTACATTATACTATTAGTAGCGAAAGGCATTTTTATCTGTGATGACTTACAATGTAAAGCGGACATGCTTCCTGATCAAAACTCCTAATAGTCCTTAGAGATGTATCTGAATAATTTTATAGGTTTTCTTTGCCATTTGGGTAGGGAAAGGAAAACAGTTCCTGTCCCAAGACATAGTTTTGCCTGTTACGCGTGTCTAAAGAGGATAAGAAAATGAAAAAAAAAAAAAATCATCATTTTTTTTAACAATCTTCCTCAATTGTTGACATCACACTGATAAAGGAAGCTTCCCTACCACTTGCCCGAAGAATTGATGGCTTTGCAGACTTGTTCTAACTTATCTGTCTTTTCCCTCTCAACTCTGATCTTTCAAAAGAGCTTTTGGGGCATATTCCAGAATGATACTGTCCTATGGGACAGATTCCACAGTTAATTTCAAAAAGTTTCCATCAGTAAAAAGTTTTCAGCAGTCTAGCCCTTCTAAAAAAGCACTACAAAAAGTACAAGCATTTTTACTAAGATTTCTGCAGTTTCAATATTAGATGAAAGGTCCTCTCTTATTGAGGATGAAGGGTTGCACTTCAGAATAGAATTCCAGCTACTACAACTCAGCCACTAAGCTGTATCCTATACATTTATTTATTGCCTATTATATGCTGCTCTAGTGGCAGCACTATTAAAGCTGTCCGCTTAGCATCAGTCACAGATTTAGACACAGCCCTGTTCCTCCACTAAAGCACTTATTGTTTAATTAATGACCATTTATATTGTATTAATTAAATAAAAAAGATGTCACCAAACTGCACTTCTAAGGTCCTGCGTGCTATTGCAAGAGCATGCTTCATAAAGAGCACACAAAGCAAAATAATGAAATACACTTTTCGTATTAGAAATAAATTTAAACAGAAATATAAATACAGAGCCATATTAAAACTTGGGTTTGACGTTTTTAAAAAGCATCAGCCCAGTAAAACTCACAGAACTACAATGTACGACACAAGACGGGGATGATACCACAGACACCACAGACATGGAACAGCATGTGTTGGTGTTAAAACTTACAGGCACGTAAACTGGTGGAGCAATCATTAACAGAGACAGAAGAAAGTGGGAAGGCTCTCTCAAGGGTGTCCATGTTACTATGTACACTGCCTGACATGCAAGAGCAGTCACGCTCAGAGCGTCCGCAATCAAAACAACATGCCAGTTTCATTCTCTTGTAGATGGACATCTTGGCTATAACCATGTGTTGGATGGGAGGAGAGGAAGAGCAGCAGGTTAATGGCAAGGTTATATATATAACAAGGCAGCTGGAAGGTAATTTAAGGGATTTAATACAGGCCTTAGTTTATGTTAACAGTCTTGACCCAGGAAAAAAAAAAATGCAATGAGATTATTGATAACACTTTGGCTGTAGATTAAAAGTAGGGCAAAAGATAAATTGCTCTTTATTTCTGTTCAGGCTTATAGGGTGACCGCAGACATGGGGAAGAATTACTGTTTACAGTCAAGTGTTTGGATCAAAAAAGAACATAGTAAAAGCAGAGAATCCTAAGAATATAGTTTTCCCTCGGCACAATTAATACTACCGGCTTAAAATGAAAACAAAAATCTGAAGCTGCTAATCCATTAGAAATTTTTGGCCTACCCTGCATCCTGTAAAAATCAGACTTTTATATATCTATATATATATGTATGTATACACACACAAAAACACACATACACGTGTTCTTACATACACACACTCACATTATACACATACATGCATATATATACATATATATAAACGTACTTATTCTTAAACATATGCTAATAATTTCTCCGTATTAAACTGTGCCAGGGAACTCCTTTACTGCCATAAACTACACATTACTAAAGAGTTACAAGATGTTCATAAAAATTTCTGAAAAAATTACTTTGTTTACATTATGTCTTCAGGAATTCAAATTAACTCTTGACAGAATACCAAAATTTGCCCATATAAGAGACACAACTAATAATGGTAAATATGCTTGACATTAAAATCAGTTCACAAATAAGGCATCACCAAAAGCACACAGAGCATTGGTCCATCGGAACATGCTGAACCAATCATTGGCATGTTTTGTGCTCTGGATGCAAAGGTAGGTCGAGAACCAAATAACTGAACGTAAGATTAGGTGCTAATTCCAAAAAGAGTGCCAGGTTAGAATGGAACATTTATATCCTTCCATCATGGGAATGTGTAATTACCTTTGTTTAATTTTGTACGTTACCTGAATCACAGGTAGGTTTAAGTCCGAAGAAATGCAAAGGCCATTTAGATTGTTTCCCATGTTGCACTGAACCAACACTTTTGGTAATGGTTTAGATTGAACTGACTCAATTATACTAAAAACAAAACAGAACACTGACAGGCAAAAACAAAACCTTAAAAGCATACGCAGAAAAAAGGTAATGTTTCTCAGGCCTGTACCTTCAGTTTAGGATGTCTTTTTTGCATTACGGTAATGCCATTAAATTTAAAATAATTTCTCTTTGTTTTTTTGTGTGGTTTTTGGTTTTTTTTCCAGTTTCTTAATGCCACAGTCACCAGGGAAGAGGGATTGAAATCGCTCAAATGGGTCAAGTCCTGTTCTAAGGCCTTGATGACTTGCCATACAGTATACTTGTCAAGCAAGGGTAACATTATGATTGTGGAAAACAGGCATTGAGGGAGATGAATGAGTGATCTCTTCAGCAGCGACTCCATTCCTCTAAAACTTTGCTCACATGACTAATGCCATGTTCTTTTAGCATCCTAGTAGAGTTATCTTACAGCTGTTCAGAAAGTCATCATGCAGCATCAGGCTTGTTCATTGCATAGTACATCATTCCTCAGAGCTTGGCTTTTAGTAAGAAGGTTTCCACTGCAGCTTTTGATGCATACACATTCAAACTACACAGAAAATTCAAAACAGCATTTATTTTCCCATGGTTTCCCTCTGTCTAACTCTTCCCAACACATTCTTTAAAATGGAAAAGTTGGGCAGAAAAAGAAAAGTTAAGTATGTTGCCAAAAATGTGGAAGACTTTCCATTATGCCTATTTTATTATTTTCACATTAAGGAAATGAAAGAAAAATAAAGGGCATTTGTGAGACACACTAACAGTAGGTGAAGTAAAAGGCAGGCCCATTTTCTTTTAATTATAGCTGTTTTGAAGGACTTTAAAATCAAATGCTATAGCAAAACATACTGCCCAGAAGTTCTCAATTGCTGTGTCATTGGTTAGTAACAGTCCCTGGTTTTCATGTACTTGTAGCCATATCTTGTCAACGATCAATAATAGGACACATTTATGAAAATTAAAAGAAATCATTCTGAAGGGCAAAGAGGGTTGGGAAGGAAAACTTGTTGTACCATTTTCACCAGATTTAAACCAATGAAGTAAGAAATTTAAGCCCTTCTGTTCAATAGGGGAAGGACTTCGTGACACTTCTCAAAAGCAATGCCCTTTCAGGGACTGTTTTTAACGATTATTATCAGTTGTTCTGGAGATCATGCAGCATTTTAATATTTAACATCATTAACATGCAGGAAACAGGCTTGGACCTGGAAATATAAGTAGCAGAAAGGACTTGCTATAAGGGTTTCAACCAGTATATAAGCAACTGCATATCAGAGCAATACATTTCAGAAAGAAAACATGCTGTTACTCTTCATTCCTTTTATACAGTCATTGTTACATTCATACAAAATACAATACTTATTTTCTTTTAAATAAAACAAAACATGGATTATTAGCAGGGATGACTAGCGACAAGATCAAAGACAAGACAGAAATGATTTTAAATGGTTCAGCCACACACATACCATTTCCTATAAAACTTCCATAAACATTAACAAAAAATGGGAATCATCAGAGAGACAGGGGGACCTTAAGAACAGCCTCTGGGTGGGTGTAAAATTCGTTTGACACCTGTAGCACCTGCGTAAGGATCAACTTATTTCTATTCATAGAAATGTTAAGGATGTTGAGTAGAACTGTTATTTGCAACTACTGAAAATGTAAGTTGGGACATACAGGAAATTACTGCCCTATTTTCAATTGAATAATCAATGGATGAAAAGGAAGAACAGATCCTTCTACTTAGTATGATGACAATCCCACAGCATTTGTAAAATGAATTAGTAAAAATTGCAGGGGAAGTTATCATGGATGCGGACATAAGATTACTTAAATAATTTACTAACAAAACAAGGTATAGATGAAATAGTCATTTTCTGATTTGTTATAAGTAAAATAAAAGCAAAATTTCTGTCTATTATTTGTAAATGAATACTTTTAAAAACTTTTTTTGTTGCAATTTTTCACAGAAGGCAATAGCCTTCCATTCTAATAAGGAAGGAATGTGCCTTACATGTCTAAGCTTTTAGCAATACCTTGCTTTCTGACCTCAAAAACTCAAAAATCCCAGTCCAAATTTCTAGATTGTCTGGATCTGAGGTGTTACTTGGAGTTCACAAACAGTAATGGGAAATATTTCCAGCTGCAAAAATAAGCAAAGGAAACTGCAGATTATTCTCTACCTAAGATGTCAAGGAACAGCTCCTTTTTTAAAAAAAGCAAGCAGAACAAAGTATCTCTTCATCCTCGCTGATTTTTTTTTTAAAACCATGCAGTCTACCCAATCCTCGTATTCGACCCATCACTGTAGCAGTTTTCCCTGTGACCGCAACAGGTAGTCACAAAAGTAGATCTAGGAGGACATCTAGTGGATCTCTCTGAGATAACAGCTGGTTAAGAAGAAGAAGTTTCTTGACCAGCAAATGGTAAAAAAAAGTCCCATTACACTTCAGAATTGAAATGCATACAGTGTCATTTCAATTCATCAGGTTCTCATGATCCCCACTATGAGTAAAATAACAGCAGCATTAACGGGCGACCAGACTGATTTGATCGCCTCTTAGCAATGCTGGTTACCACCATGAGACTGAAATATTGGAAGGACTTCCCCCAGCACAGTTTCAGTTTCCTGAAAAATACAGCAGCATATCTTAAACTGTTTGTGGGAATTTATTTTATCTTAACACAACAGGAAAAATATCTCTCTCCATCATTTAATTTTTACAGAACAACTTCAAGACCGCCAAGTCAGCTTGTTCCCTATCTTGCAATTGGTTAGTTGTTTGCTAGAAATCATGCGGTGCTGTTCTTTGTCAAAACTGTAGAAACAGCAGGTGACCTGAGTGAATGTTTTGCCCTATTTTAGTAGCTACAAGAATGAATCACAGGTTTAGAAGTAATGGCACATTTATAGACCAATTCATTGTAATTTTCAAATCTGATCATGACCTTTCCTTCATTATCTTAAAGAAGACTCTCAGCCAGCGTACTCTCAAAGGTAACTGCTTTGCTGAACAAACTGAAGCTATTGGGGAAATGGAAAAAAAAGAAGTCAAAGCCACGTGACCTTTTCTTTTTTCATACTCTCAGCATGAAGAGATCTTTTACTTGTTTATTTACTATTTGAAGTAATTTCTCTGGTCCAGAAAGGCCTCAACATAGAAACATATTTAAAATAAATGCATTTCTTCAAATAAATCCAAATTACTTCCATTATTTTGCCCCAAAGTCAATAGGATTCATAATTTTATCCAAAGAAATTCGGTTCTTTCAGGCTTATTATTAAGTATCAATTCTAATCACGCTGACCTGTTTCACAATCTGCTTTTTTCTGCTGCCCCATCTTTCTGCTGTGTCATTCATTGGCTGAAAATAGATCTTCAGAGAAATTTCTGTTCTCTGTTTGAATGCTTTCTATCTGTCCTAGTTGCAGCTGGGAAAGAGTTAACTTTCTTTCCAGTGATTGCTGTTAAAGGAATGTCAATAATACCTATTGGTTTTAGTTGTTGTTAAGTGATATTTACACTATTCAAGGACTTTTTTCAATTTCCTATAGAAGTATAGACAGAATATATGTATATAGATGTATAGATGTACATAGAGGTATAGATGGAACAGCCAATGATATATTCCATATCATAGATGCCATGCTCAGTATATAAACGGGGGTTAGCTGGGGGGTGGGAATCTACAATCACTGCTCTGGACTGTTGCAATTCACTAGACAGTGAGTGACCCCTGTCATAATTATTATTGTTCTTATTATTAATGTTATATTTCCTTTTCTGTTATTGTTTCTATTAAACTGTCTTTATCTAAACTCACAAGGTTTTTTTCCTCCCTTTCCCCTCCTTTTTCTCCTCTTTTCCCTTGCCCCCATCCTTCTTGGGGGGCCAAAAAGGAGGAGTGAGCAAGCGGCTGCCTGGTTCTAGGTGCCAGCTGGGATTAAAACACAGCATTACCCCACAGGATCTCAATCCTTTAGTGGAGTTTGCAGGCACCACAATAAGATAAACAGTAAATAAAAAATAATCATGATGAAGGTTGTCACAATTCCAAGACAGCTAGTACTTTATCATGCAGCTCCAGGAGTGCCGACTTTTCCTTGATTCTTTGCATGATCCTACAGTGGATACAGCTGAGAGGGGAAAAATCCCTCCATCCTGATTAAGACCTGAAGCATTATCAAACAATAAATTCAGAATATCTGGGAAAATGTTCAAAAAATCTCAAGGCCTCACTTATTTAGGATAGGTGCAGGTATACGATATGGTTAGCAGCCCAATCTGGTACAGCAATGCCTCACTGCAGCTATTAAATATTTGATCCCTCTTGCTGTTTGAAAGAACAAGCCCATATAATCCTAACACTGCCCTTTAACCAGCACATTTCTTTCCAGTGCTTTTATTTCTAAGCAGCAAATTCTTTCCATGTCCCAAATGCTGTGCTTATTTAAATTATCACAACTGTACACATGAAAAGTGGCTGATGAGAGCCTTCATAGATTCTGTACACTTTAAAGTGGTATGACTGATATTGACATGAAGTGGTCTATAAAGTTTGTATTCTATATATAATAATAATGTAAAACTTTACAGCTTAGGTTCTGAAAAGTCAGCATGGATCTACTCATGCAATTAATTTCAAAACAAGGAAGCTGGGGAAAATAATCACTGTAGCTTGTTTCCTGTTGAAGATATCTGTAGGCTTATACATTAAAAGTTAGCCACACATTTAATTCATTGTCTGGCTTTGCTCCCATGTCCTTTTTTTTTTTTTTTTTTGCCAAAGGGGTGACTGATATTGACATGAAGTGGTCTATAAAGTTTGTATTCTATATATAATAATAATGTAAAACTTTACAGCTTAGGTTCTGAAAAGTCAGCATGGATCTACTCATGCAATTAATTTCAAAACAAGGAAGCTGGGGAAAATAATCACTGTAGCTTGTTTCCTGTTGAAGATATCTGTAGGCTTATACATTAAAAGTTAGCCACACATTTAATTCATTGTCTGGCTTTGCTCCCATGTCCTTTTTTTTTTTTTTTTTTTTTGCCAAAGGGGAGAAAGGAATTGGGTAAGGACAGTAAAAGACTGCTGTGTTACTCTCTGTCAGCAAGGCAATGGAAAAGACAAAGTGAAAAAAAATTGAACACGGGTCTGACAATTAATTGTACTTAACCAGGCAAACTGTGCTATAGTGGTAATTACCCCAGCCTAACTGAGATCCCTAAAAATTCATTAAATACCTCTAGGATCATTTCAAGGAAATGTCACTGCCAAGATCTCTTTTTCAAATAGGGATAAAAAATAAGTTTGTGGAAAAAAAGGGGCAAAAAGGTGGAAGAGGGGAAAACTGCTGTATTTTCTTCAACGTCACCCTAATCTCCGTGGGTGTAAACGATGAGAAACTTGTGGGTATGACGTCACTGCTACATGCAACATAAATAAAGAAAAGAACCAAATACTGAACAAAAATACTCTCTGCTAGAGAAAGACAGGTTGGACCGCACTCTGGGCTACAGGGAACCCATTTTTACTCACAATAGATCACTATCAGTGTGCAGTTAAAATATAGTAGGGGTCGTGTTCCAAGGCAGCAAGAGGAAAAATAAATCAAAAGTTTGTCAATTGTCATAGATTACAAGAAATTCCTTCAAACACATCAATGTACACATGATATGTCCCCTCTGGGGTTCAACCCCCACCGTTCACAGCAAGCACTGTCACTGGAAAAAATATATAGAGAATTAGACCATAGTTGTTGCACAAAATGAGAGAAACAGGAGGAGTAGGTCATCCAGTTTAGAGATTTCATCCCAACGTGGCTGCATTTTATATAAATATATACATGTATTTGGCCCCTTGCTGCAAAAACCACAGTTAAGTGGAACAGGACAGAGGTTGAAAACATTAAAAAAATATTAACAATCTGTGAATAAAACATCCACACAAGCATTTCTCTGGACAACGTGACATCAGTATTCACATGTTATTTGGGGAGTGGGATGGGTAAGAAAGGGATGGCAAAGAAACTGCAAAAGGAAAGCGAGGTTACTTTAATTATCCCTGGTCTTGTGGAAACGTACTGATCTGCGCTGAATTATTAATATTAGGCCTAACAGGTTTGGACAAATGGCTATGTAGGTCAGACTCGTGTTTAGACCCCAACAATACCACAAGCTAATGTTCAGACAGCATCTAAATTGATGTGCAACTTCAGATGCATTATTAAAGAATGTAGTTTTCCAAGTGTCACGGGAAGTTGCATTAATTAATGCCACCATAATTAAATTTTCCATATAAAGATATTCTTTCACATTTAATTCACCTGAATGCGTCAATATTTTTACATACAACCTTCCATTTCATCTTACACATTTTCTGCACTCAGCAGCCTCTAATTGCTATGCTACTCACTAATTAAAATATATACTTATCATATAGGACTACATATACGCATGTGTGACTATTTGCAGTGTCTTTGAAAATCAAATTGACATATTAGCTGTTGACAGATCAGTTGACAGTTTCCTAATTCAATAGGGAAAGAGTTTTTTTAATTTATGCTTTCTTCTGGTTAGACTACATTTTTTTAAGACCAATGTTTTCTGTAGCTTCAAGATGGATAACATAGTTAAGATTTTTCAAAAGTGATTAGTGATTTGAAAGCTAAAGCTAAGACATTTTATGTGAAAAACAGAATGCACTAAAGACTTACCTTTAAGAAAAAAAATCAGGTCCCATAAATGGGATCTCAAGATTGTCATCAAAATTTGAGAAACCAAAAATCACTAATTACTGTTGAAATTTTTCATTTTTGACTGAACTTGAAAAGCAACACAATTGCATTATTCCTAACAGTTGTGAGCATGCTCCCCAGTGGAAGCTGTTCTCAGCTGCCAGCTCTCGAGCTACCTGTGACCATATGTGTGTGTATGTAGGAGAAGAGAAGGGAAAGGGCAGATGGGGGTGGGGGGGGAGGAAGAGAGAGAGGGGAGACAATGAAAGTGAAATTTAAGATTTTACTCTCACTGGCCATTTTATTTTCTTTTTCACCTGACTCAGAGGATTTACTCCTTAGTGTTCACTGCTCACTGCAGCGGCTCTGACAGCCGCCTCCTTCAGCCTCACTAACCACATCATTTTGTTTCTTCATCTGTCCAACACCGTTTCACTTATTGGACTGATACGTGTGACCACGCCATTTGGAACACTTCCTAGTGTTACACACAGAAGTGGTCACTCCCCCCTCTCCATAGTCCTGCTGCTGGTCATATATCCATTGTGTTGGCTGGGTCACAGGATACTTTTTTCTCCCTGGTTTCCTAGTACTGAGGAGGTTACATTGATTTTCCTAATGTATAATAAAGGGCTCTTGCCCTTTATACTGTTAATTTTTGATTCCTGTCATCTAACAGATTTCAATAAAAAGTGTAGATGTCACATTAAAATGACAGATCTTTGGGATTTTTACTTTTTTTTTTAATCAGCACATGTGTGAAAAGCATACACTATGTGAAGGAGGAGCAGGAAATACAAATAAAATATTGACGGAATCGGATAAAATTAAACCGATAACATAAAATTTAACTGTTGGGTAGGTTGGAAAAAAGATTGGGTTTGAGAGTTACAGACACCCCAAGGCATCTGTAAGTGGCTTTACCAGAACTTACTCAGCAGCCTCATTGGCTTTGGCAGCAGTTCAAAGGTCACATTCTCACATGGATAAACTGTTCTTGAACAATTTTTTTCCAATATGTTAGGCAATGCATACATTCCTTCCACATCAGGCATGCTTTTCCATGTGCTTTGCTCTCCTTGTGGCTACTGGGAGGATAAACACCATTTGCTGTCAGTGTTTCAGCTGCTTTCTCTCAATTATATTACTTTGTTCCACAACCCTGCTTTTTTGCGGGGAGAGGAGTTTCTGTAAAAACTCCAGTGACATATTTTTTCTTTTTAAAATAATCTTCAAGAATTTATTCATTTCAGGCACCTCTTAAAAGCAGAGAATGGTCTCAGAGGCAGTTCGGGCTTTCTTCCATCCTCTAAGGCAGTGCAGTGATAATGCTATGACTGGATCAATAAATAATATTTTTCTCTTTTAAAAGTAAGGCTAGAATAGACATGATCAAACTTTTCTGATATCTTTCAATTTACCTAATCAGTACTTTTGAATGGAATGATCTTTTTCCTGGCAGAATACTACAGAATGGGCATACATTTTCAGATACCCATTGAGAAATGGGTCCCTAAATCCTTTTGATATCAGTATTATAAATATGCATGGGTCAAAACCATCTTTGGCCAAAATGTACTTGTGATATTTCCTGCAAAAAATGATTTCTAAGTATATACAGATAAAATGCTAATTTCAATATATTTATAAAAATACAGATGCAAAGCCTGATCTCAATCCCAAACTTCAATTATTTCTTCATACAAAATTTTCCAAACAATTTAAAAAGCAGAACTAAGAACTTAACTAAACCATATATCGCTGTTACAGCTATGGAATCTTCTAAAAAGATATAAGTAAGAGGTGCTAATATTTTATTTCTTCCAGACAATCCCTTCCTCCAGTAAAAAGAATTGTTCATTTCAATAATTACTTATTTGAATAGTTATATGACGGAATATTATTCCTTAGTTTCTTCTTTTAGAGAATCATTTTCAGAAAGATAGACAGCGGTTCTTCACTTTACAGAAAACTATTGATATTACCGGATTTCTACATGGTATGAAAGAGAGCAGAACTTCACTGTTAGCTCATTCTTAACTCGGAAACTTACACAGTTAGTTCTAACTTGATTTAATTCTTCAGGTTTTGTTAGCTTTGGACACTGATGGACTTTTTAATGAAGAAACACGTGTGAGTGGTGTGAAATGTAATAAAACATATGCACTTTGGAAATGCAAATGGCACTTACTGTGCACTTGCTGTGCATTTATTTCTTATTTTTCTCTACCACTGCGTGAAACATGTAAACACATGTACAGATATTCTTCAAGGCTGAACTGTTCATGAAAACGAGAGGGAGTAATAGAAATATTACTTACGCCGTTTGCAGCCACATTTTTTTATTCTTTTGGGATCCGTGATGTCATCATGACAGGCCTTGCAGTAAAAAAATGCCCTAGAGAGACAGAATGGAAAAACTGACACATTTCTTAATCCATACAAATGAAATTAGTCCCACATTTCCTCTTTTTGCAGTGCCAAATTAATGAAACATGCCAGCACTAATTTCCTTTAATCTTTGAAAAGGGTTAGACATTTAAAGTAGGAAATATTTGCTGCAAGACCATTAATTTCAACCATAAGACTCCAAATTAGTGTTTCTTTCAATATACTTTTACTTGAAAAGTAATTGGGAGAAGGGATGATAATTATGACACAGTGCATCAGTTCATTTGTCTTTCATCTTAGAAAAAAGAGCATCCAATGAATTTTGTCATTAAAAAAATATATAACGAATTATATATATGAATATATATATTATATATAATGAATATATATAACAAATCCATTAAATGGATTTTGAAGCATGTGGATTTCTGATTTTAGTACTAACATGTAAATGGATAAAGAATAATAAAGATGCAATTCATAAAATTTGTATTGTATTTAAACACTCAACATTTTGCATGAAGCTATCACTTAGGTATAATTGTTTCTAATGTGAAACTATTGTTCTAAAAATGCAAAAGTCATTCTAGCAAGAAGAGTAATTTAACATTGCATGTTATATTTCATTATGGAATATATATTTGATAAATATTAATAGCTTTAGCTTAAAGAGCTGAAATTTCTCATTAGCAGCAACACAAAACCAGAATAATTTAATTTGAATTTCAGGTACATAACATGTTTAATTTTACTTTATTAAAAAAAGACTTTTTTTCCTCTCCAAAAGATCTCGAGTTTAGAATATTTTTCTGACTCTGATTCATGGCTCAAAATGGTGAAAATCAACACTTTACATAATTGGTTTTGTTAGCTGAAACACATCTGATAATCATTTGCTTTGCACAGAACGGCTAAGAAACGTAAGGGAGGCAGCATATTTCTAAACAAATCCTTCTGCAAAAGCAAGGCAGAAATGGGAATTTTGTTTATGCTTGCTATTAACACATTCATAACAGTCAAGTTCTCCCTGTTAAAAATGCTATGCCAGGTAATTTCTCCTCACAGTCTGAAATAATTTCATAGTAGAGTGTAAAACATCTTATAAATGAAAAAAGCGCTACCATCTCAGTAAAGAAATGTGAAGACAGTTGTGGATAGTCAAATGGAGAAAAGCACCAGGGAGGAAAAGAACTGTAGGCTGAAAGTCAGCACACCTGAGGCAGTGCCGGATGCAAATACTCCAAAGATGGTACTAGAAATATGAGAGGACAAGAGCACTGCTGTGCTGCTCTATATGCCTCACTTAGCCAAAGTTCAATGAAAATAAAATTCAAGTTTTTAGTTATTTCACCGTTTCCACGTTTTGATTTTCTTTAAATATACGTTGCAAACATGCCTTGTTTAAATATTGTTTTCACTGTAATTTAATCATAAGAAGTTTAGGACTTAGTAAAGTTTATAATGTGAATATTTCATCATTCTAAGTACAGGATTTAGTTAAAACACCTAACTCAAAGAGATCATCAAGTAAGTATCAGACTCTTGATAGCGTAACTTATAACAAGGATACAAATTATGAGGAAGCACTCAGCTGCAAACACTAATTTTTTAGGGTTTTTTTCTTAAGTCTTGCAAACATTGAATAATTATTTCTTTTAAAAATTTTTGTCTCACATTGCTCTTTTATTCCTTCCAAACATATTATACTCCTAACAAACACGCGTTCACATTTAGTTCTTAAACACAATACCATGAAACACTCTCTTCATTCAACCCAGATACAACAAACCAGCAAATTGTCTACAATGGTTGGGATATACTGCATCATTGTAATTTGATTTATTATAATAAGGCCATAGAGTTCCAGTAAAGAAAAATTACAAGAACATAAATTTTATTCTGTTAATGAAATTATTGAATGAATACAGTAGCTTGCTCACATCAAAAATTTGCTAGTGTCTATGTAAATAAGAACTACTCTAAGCCTGAAACTTGGACAAAACTCTAATCCCTGTCCTCTCTCAAAGCAATTCCACTGAGATAAATTAACTATAGAGAAATCAGATCAAAATATTTTACATTTTCTAGTAGGACTCAGACAAAAAAAAAAAAAAGCTTCTTAATTTCTTTTCACATCTGCTGTAAAATTATTTCATTTCCTTGATATTTAGGAGTGTAGTTAAGAAAATGGCATGCGCACATGGTTGGTTCACTAGGGTGCCACCTCAGTTCCCCCTGAGAATCTTTAAACAGATAATAACAAAAATTAGGTGAGGTGTTTACATGTAATAAGTTTACATTTAAAGAAAAAAAAAAAAATAATTACCTTTTTACTTCTTTGGCATCACTTGCAATGAAGAATCCTAAAGTACCTTCTTGAATCTTGACATGGTTTCCAGGATTGATTAATATACTGCTCAGTGAAACAAGAACAAAAACAACAAAAGCATAAGTTTAGATTACTTTTAACTGGATGTTCCAAAATAGCTTTATTTGGTTCTGTTATAGGGGACCCACTACTTAGGAAAGGCTGCAAGGAAATTTTAAGCCATTCTTCCTTGAAATTTCCAATCAAATAACAGTTTCACATGCTTTTTACAAAAACTTAAGTTTGAGACAGTCACATGCCTCCGCCTATAGTCACATCACTTAAGTGTTTACATCTGTTTTTGTATTAAATATAGACTATACAAAATAACAAAGCATCTCAGAAACATGGTGTGTGAAGCTGAGCATTTCAGCTTTCTTGCTCTGTCATGCAAAGTGGTGAAAAATTCACAATATGGTGAAAAGGGAAGAACCAGCAACTACTACTCAGTAACAATAAAAAATATCATTTATTAAGCTAAACCCTTTGATGCAAATTTTTGCCAATTTCTAGTGAAACAGAAGGTTAATGGGACCCCTATCTGAACATACAATGTTATTGTTTAAAATAATAAATACACACATACACTCAAGGGGAATGGTACAAGACAACCAGTCACGATAGCTGAAAAAACATAAAATGAATAGAAGATTTTTAAAACACTGCTATGCGGCCATGGAAGAACAAAAATAACCCAACCACACTGAGAGAATAGCCTCAGCTAAATTTGATGAAGGAAATTATTAACCGCTATCAAGAAGTGAGATACTCCATGTGTCTCTGCACAATATGTTTTTTATTTTCACAATAATTTAACATTAGATTTTAGGTAAGGCAATTTGCAAAGTACCAAGCTAAATATGAATATACAGATAGAGATGTAAATATATTCTCCAGTAAATGTTATTAATGTGTAATACAACTAAGCTTTCGACTTTCTAAAACTTAAGCTTGTCAAAAGTTCTCTCTTTTTTTGTCTTTCACTAAAGCTTAGCCTTTGTAATTCAAAATGTAGTAATGGCACACATATGCAATTTACAGTAAATAAAGACTACCAGCAATTTAAACACCTGAGGATTGAGGAGAAAATGATTTTGGGGAAGTATACATATACAAAAATAAATAAAGCACTTTTCTGAAAAAACATACATTACTAAAATTTGAAGGCCAAAAATTTTTCATATTATTGTTAGAAGGGAAAATGGATCTCAGCAGCTTTCTTATTCAAGATCTTATTTGTTATCTATACATTAGTAATAAATTAATATGACAAAGGTTATAATTGAAAGCTTTATAATGAGCATATTGTTTTGTGTGATTACACATGCCCATGAGGCCCTATGAAAAGAGTATGCAGGCTGCAAAATAGAGCACTCCTAAGTTAAGAATTAAAAGGTTGGTCATGCAGCCATAATTTAGCCCCCATTATGTAGACATTATGATACAATTCTTAATTTAATAGCCACAAACTACTCTTTTCTCACAATCTGGAACTTCATTCAATAGTGTTTTACTGCCATTACTGCAGGCATGGATTCATGTAGTTTATCTGTCTTTAAAATCAACATCATATTTTTCTTATATGTTTTTCTGCAGTGTTCATCAATGTAGCATGCAAAAGATTCAAAAATACATAATTTATTTTACAAGAAGAATGAGGATATAGTATTATCCCATTTTACAGCTGAGAGATCAAGTCACTAAACAATATAGTAGCTATTAATTTGGGATGCCTGCAGGCCATTTTTTGTAAGCATTTAGCATTGATAGCTCCATATACACCTTCTAGGGACTTTTGCTGTAAGAACACTCAGCATTTTCAAAAGCCTGGCCTCTGGCTCCCAAAATAATAAACAATCAGAAGTCATCTGTAGAAGGTTTGGCTTTAATTATTAGCTCACTCTCACAAAGATACTCTGTGGCAGAGTCTGGAACAGAAATTATATCTCAAAGAAAGCATTTACCCAGATATCCTTCCTTTTCCTTCATTCACAGTTTCAAGCTTTGCAACAAAAAGGAGAGGAGAACTACAGAAAATGGAAGTCATCACCACAGAAAGCAGGTTCATCTCCACAGCACACTTCAGTAATATTGCAAAAAATGAAATGTGATGGTGTAAATAACACCTACATTATACACGCAGATAAATGGGATGAATTAAAGTTGCACAGCTAAATTTCACATGTGGTGTTTCTTTTGTTAGTGTATTGGGCTTAACGGTTGTGCTTGCAACCAAAACATTTACCTAATGCAGTTTTCAAATGCCATTTCACAGGTTTTAAAGTAGAATAAAACTGACAGAAAAAAACAATAACAAACAACCCCACAAGATTTTCTTCATGTGAAACCAGTCACTCAAGTCACATCCACGTTGTAGAATTTAGATTCCCTGCACAAATTTTTGTCACTTGAGCCACCAAAGCACTTACTAGCTGTTACAGAGATACCTCAACAGGCCACCACTAAGAGAGGAGGCATATGCTCCACCAGTGCACTCACAGAAGAAACTTGAGAATCTTAACCCTGCAAGCCTACGTGAGCCCAGATAAGCCACTTATCAAGAACGAGGAGTGAGTCCTTCTGCCGCTAACTCTCCAAAGTCTTTCTGCCAAAACTTTCTATCATGTGTGTAACTGCATCCATGTTTCATTCTCCACCTCTCCTCTTCCCTGTCTGCTAATCCTTAATCCGCTATTGAATTGAGAGTTTATCTGATAGAACTCAAAAATCTTCGACAGACGCTACCCTCATTTATTTCTACTATACTGCTCCTTTTAAATTATGCAGACTTGTACTATGGTTAGTGTTGACTATTTTTCTTAGGTACAAATAGGCACTGTTCTGTCAGAAAAAATACTTTCTTTGCCTTTAATCATGGAAGTATTACAGCTTTTCAGTGAAAACAGATGAACATATTTCTTCACTCGCCCTCAGAGAACTTAAAATTTGACAAAGTAATTAGCAAATGAAGTGGTTCATTTAAGAGGTAGCAAACATAACCTTAAATCAGAAGAAAGTGGCTTCATTTAGCATGTAATGTATTGTGAGCATGATTTTGTATCTCAATGTTTTCTGAGACACAAGAAATCAATTCAGATGGGTCAGTGTATAGACTTTATTTTCGTCAGATTTTATACTTTGTTCATATATACTTATTTCCACTAATACAATGTATTAATAGCCACAAAATATAGATGTGATCGCAGTTAATGCAGTATGACCCCAGCAGCAAAATTTTTTGTTGGGAATAAAAATTAATTTGCCCCACCACTGCTATTGGCAAAGAGTTATAGCAAAGGTTCATAAAGCTTTGGGTTTATAGACACACTGATATTTAACCAGAGCAAAATCATGAGCAGTTTCTACTGACTCCACATGGATTTATTAAATAAGCTGCTTATTAAAGCAGCAATTGAATTATTTCTTATGAGACCTGTAGTGTCATTATGCCTTGATAAGCACTCACTATAACATGTACAGTAACGGAAATGTTTTGAATTAAAAAAATAGAATATACGGAACAAAGAGGACAGAGAAAAATACAACAGGCTTATGAGCGTACCAAGAAGAATGCATCCATCACTTATTTAGAGATGCATGTATCTGTTTAACCAGCTCATGAAAATATGATATATATCGCCCCACAGCTGAGAAGATAAGTACATGGCAAAGTAAATAGGAGTTTTTAAGAGAGAAAGCTTCAGTCTCATTTTTATGTATGTCCAATGCTGAGGAGTTTTACAGGTATAGGAAGATGTAGGAAAAGGGACAAAAGGACAGAAACTCACTACATTCAATGTCAATATGTATAGCTAATCCATATGCATTCTGTGCCATGCATTGGAAAAAAATGCTGTTGAAAATGACATCCCTGATTTTTCCAAATATAAGTTTTTATCATAAAATATTATTTTATTTTTTATCTCCTAAATCAGCTTGTGAAATCAAGGTAGGAATGACAAATACTTCAAAAGCTTCTAAGATCTTGATCAAATTCTATAATTTTATAACATTTCTAGTTTAGGTTACCTCAGAAACTAATGAAGTAATAGCAAGTTCAAAAAACTTTAAGTCATAATTTCCTTAACAATTCCAGTTCCAGAAATACATTCCTCAGGACAAAGTTTTTCGTGACAGGGGTCACATGTCACTGCAAAAACCAAAGATTATCTTTTGACTTGCTTGCTCCTTCACGCATGAACATTTAGAACACATGGCAATTACAGCCATGTAAATAGAATATGTGTAAGTTAAATACAATTTAATGTGTTTAATGGGAACTTAAGGTACTTCACCAGCATGAACTTAGGAGAAGCCAGTTCCATTACTCTCTGATAATACAACAATTTGTAAGCCACTTGTGGAACAAAATATGAAGTTTATAAATCTTTGCTTTATGGTTATCTGATGTCCAGCAAAAGTTAGTCCATTTGCTAAACAAGAGTCACTTAGTGACTAGATATAAGACCACGCATCTCAGAGCAATGAAAATTTCACACATTGAAAAATGCAGAAATCACCCTTGAATTCAGTTGTATTGTCAGTAATCATAGAATGAATCATAAAATGCTTTGGGTTGGAAGGGTCCTTTAAAGATCCAACCCCCCCATCATGGTAAGGGATATTTTTCACTGGAACAGAGTGCTCAAGGCCCCATCACCTGACATTGAACACAAAGTTCAGGAAAGAAACAGGAACAATAGCATTTATACAGTTGAAACTGAGATCCCAGACTGACTGAAATATAAGCAGGTGAAGCAAAAATGGGAATTAGTGCACATTTGAGATGCACAGTTTAAAAAAAAAAAATCAATGTGGTCACAAAAATTCTAGACAAACCCTTCTGAATCTCCTTACGTAGATTGTTCAATGAAAAGTTAAAATTGGACATGATGACTTTTTTTATATGTCATAGGAGAATAGCTATCTTTTAGTAACTCATGACAGCGTATTATTTTTCATCAATTTGCTCACTTTTTAGATTGTATCTTTCTGTTGTTTTAAGTATACATGCTGCCTTCAGTAAAATACAGATACATGTAAATACCTGCTCATCCATTCTTATTTACCTAAAAGTACCCCAGAACATGAGTATTGCTCAATACCTTTTTAGTAGTGCATAGATGATCGTCTGCACAAAAAGAATACCATATTATGTCTTCCCTTAAAGCATTAAAAGTGAGCTAAAGTTTTGATTACTAATTTCAAGTCTTCCATGTTTTGCTGATAAGGATTTTTGATGAAGATTCTGACTGTTGGAGGTTTGAACTGCAGGACAATTGGAGAACTGACATTTTGCCGCAGGACTAATTACCTCCAACTGTATATATCTTTTACTCTTTTCTGATGTTGAGTGATTTTTATTTGTCTTCTGCTTTCAAATATCATACATGTTGGACTCAAATGATGTGTCTTGAATGGCATTAGACCGCTTGATGGCAGATACCTTTTAATGGTATTAGAAGATATAAAGCATTATTTCTGAAAAATTTCAGTAGAAGACAAAAAATATTTCCTGTAGCTTTCTATAATATTCAGCTATCTTCTAAGTGAACCACATGGAAAAAACAACCAAGCAGCTTTAGATTCTGAACCATTGTTACGTTGTATGTGTTTATTGGTAGACCACATGCTAAGTGGCATGGCTTCACAATTTACTTTGCACAGCTTGAAACTGAGTAGGCTTCCAATACTGCTGAAGTTGTAAATGGACATAACTTTGAACTCTTAATCTAGACATAGCATTTATACCATAGATGACTCTCAGATTTGTCAGCCTTCTCTGAGAAAAAATCAGGGATCTTATTAAGATGGAAGAGGTGCAGTAAAAGTCTTAAAACTGAGCTGACAGAGGCATGTGGAGATGCTCAGCAAGAACAGCACAGAAAATAGGCAAGGGTAACAACATTTTAAGCAGCACTATATGAAGACTAAAAACTGGAAGACATAGATAAAGTCAATCAGTAGAGACATACACTGGAAGAGCTCTTTAAAGAATTTTCCTTGTCAGCAGCCTCAGTTATGTATTATTCTTGTTTGGTTTTACTTTCAAGGTTACATTTTAGCACTAAAGGTGAGGTTCATCTCATCTGTTTTAGTAACTGTCTCTTTCTTCCCTTGCAATCATGGACTATGTCTGGATAACTAAAAGATTAGACACAACTTTTAGATTAAACATTAGGTGAGATGAATCCCATGATCAGTGACCAATCAATTCGTTCCTGCATCAAGGAAACTTGTCTGATTCAGTAACATTGCCTTTTTTTTTTTCAGTTTTATGGCTACCCTTGTAACTGCCATCATCCTTGTCTAAAAAATGAAACGATCAATTGTTGAATTAAGTGAAACACAAACAGCAAAATTTTGACTAAACCAATGACAAGAGCTTTAACAACTCTGTTTTAAACCTTGTGGTAGATGTACTGTACCATTCCCCATGCGACTGAAACAGTAGCAATACCATCTAGTAATCAGGAAGATATACTATTGTTTAATTGCTATTAATACAGTATCTAAAACAAGACTATGTGGTATTACTGACTATAGCTACCACATTTTTAAATAAAACCAACTATTTTTCTTGATTGTTTCATGCCATGCCCAGATGAAATGCACCACTATTAGCATAATGGCCTTTTAAAATGTACCATGTCATTCACAAAAATATAGAATTAGAATTAAGAAATTAGTTTGAGACAATATTTTTTGTTTCGGAGTATGTTTGGAAGTGGAGTGTGAGGGTAGGTGCACAAATCCCACAGTGGGAGTTGCGTGCATACCAGCTTCACACTGCTTGTGATTCACAAGTATTGCTTCTTTCTTCTGGGCTCTATCATTGATGTTAATTCAGATCCATATTGCTCTACACAGAAAAATCCAGTAAGACACTAAAAAGAATACAAGGCAAAAGACACAGTGCACATTACATGCTACCGTATATTAAAGCTTAATTACTACAAGCATATAAAAGGTTGCTCCCAGGAGTTAAGTTCTTTACAACAGCAGCTACTAATGTCATGGTCTACAGGATGTGCATAAGGTATTTTATTGGGGCATAGTCCAAACTAGTTCAACAGTGCTGATGAATTCAATACACTTTGAAACAAATTATTCCTTCTGGTTCCAGAAGTGGTTGATTATCAGTACAATGAAACATCACAATATACTTTATTCTGGGAGCAAGCAACTTCACTTGGTACAACACTTCTTCATATTGCTCATCATGCCAGCGTTAACATGCCTTCACCACAAGATAATATATACTTAAAAGCAAGAAGCGAAGTAGAGGTGCAACAACTGCAGATCCTTGAAGATGCTAAGTGTTGCAGTAACTTCTCTGCAGTTGGATCATATCAATAATGCCAAACTGACAGGAAGCCACCTCTCTTTTCACACATCTACTCAGAAACCACAGGAGAATAAGACTAAAAATTAAATAAACATAACACATACAACACACGCAACAGAACAGACATGGAATTAAAGTCTGGAGACTGTGGTGAAGGAAATTGAAATGCCTGGACAATGAGAACAGGATTCCAAAGAGCACCACTGACAGTAAGAGAGAGCGTTATAAGCAATTAGAAAAACAAAGCTGGAAGGAGAAAGAGAGATGAGGAGAGGACATGGAAGAGCGTGCCATATTTACTTCATCCAAACCAACAGCAGCAAGATAGAATGTAGACTAGAAAGGGGCTCACAGTATGGTATACCAAAAGAAAATGCAAAACATGCCATCCCAAAGAAAAACAAAAACTGAGAAACAAACACATTCTGTAACATTTTCATAAATGAGCTTAATAAATGTCATTAAAATGAATGTGACGTATAATACAAACTATCCATGACACTTTCACTGGAACAGTACAATAGCTTTAATGAGTACTGGATTATGAGTAACTGGGCTCAAAACAGAACCAGCAATGCAAAGAATCAGGTATTTGATTGTTGTTAATGGAAGGTGAGACTACAAGAGAACATGAACTACTGTATTGTAAGACGTGTTTTGAAGGAAGACTCCGGGGAAAGAAGGACATAAATGAAGATGTGAATATGGAGACAACATGGCAGCACAAGGGCTGGTAAAGACGAAATATATATCGTCACGATACAATACAAATGAAAAAAGAGGAGTGGAGATGTTAACAATAAAGTCTGCTTTTCCAATGCAACAATCTGATACACCAATGACTCCACAAGGTGGGGGGGGGGTGTGGAGAAAAAAAGCCTAAAAAACTTATACTGTTTTCTTTTGTACTTCCTGCAAAGAAGTTAGTGCGTGAGTCACAAGAACCAATGGAGAGACAAAATGCTATTCTCTCTCCTCTTTGAGTTTAGGGGCTCATATATAAATATACACACAGATATATATATATATACACACACAGACAGATGAATATATATATATGTATATATGTGTGTGTATATACAGAGAAAGATAGACAAAGATGTTATCTTCCTGTGTTCTTGGCAAGGAATTAGTCCTGAAGTTAGAAGGAGTGGAGGTAGGATTGAGGTTGGAAGGAAAGGTAACGAAGAGGGCATACCGCTTTCGGCTTCTGCAAACGACAAGAAAAAAATTGCAAATCAAACACTTTGATAAGAAACCGACACACCAAAGCAAAAGCAAAAAAACCCTTTATTTAAAAGTCTTCAAGGCTCAAAGGTTTTTCTGCTGAGAATGAGAACAAATATATGGATAGACAAAGAGAAAATTTAACAAGAGGAGTAAACACAGGGTGAAGGAGGGAAGAATCCTGGTTAGGCTTTCCTTCTTGCTTACTCATGTGGAAAACAGAAAAAAAGTAAGGGGAAAAAGGAAGGCAAAAGTATCTCTAAAAGGGATTTTGGATGATGAGTTTGAATGTCTGCAGTTTGAACTGATATTTTTTTCTATCTATTCAGCAAGTTCGTCTGGGACATTTTCAGGTTGATGTTCTCCATGTTCCTTTAGCTTTTTTTCTACAGAAGAAAAAAAACCTCTCTACAAATGAACTAAGACCGACCATTTTTTAAGCTAATGTATTTGGCTTGCATCAGGGACACAAAAACTTATTTAAGAAGTGCTTCCTGCTCTTAATAACTGATTATAATATTCCCAGATACTAATTGGAGATGAAGGAATGGCTAACTAATATCGTGACCAGGAACAACTAAAGTGCACACCTTAGTAGCCAGTCACAAGCCCATTGAATTCAGTCTCATTTTGTAAACTCAGAGGTTTCTTTGATAACTGAGCAGTTAATAATTTAAACATTATTAAATATAAAAATAGAAAGGTAAAAAAAAATACAATCTAATCGTTATTTTAATTAAACTTCAAGAAACAGTGAGAAACAGTTGCATAAAAAGATAAACATTCTATAGATACTTCACCCATTATTTGAAAATGAGTTTATATTTATCATATCTATGACTATGTTACCTATGTTTAGGCTTGAAAACTTTTAAATTCTGCTTTTAAGCAATCTTGTAAAATCATAAATTGTTCCTAATGAACAGTCTAATGCTGTCAAAATTTGTTATCAAGGTGTGCTTACTGTTTTGTGTAGCTTTATTAAGAGTCAGTAAAAAAGGAGAAAAAAATCCAGCTGCAAGCAGAAAGCTCGGCTCCTGCTGATATGTACATTAATATTAGCTTCCATAGAGTGCTGATGATTTATAATTACTATTGATCTTGAATCCCCTACAGTAGAGTTAAAAGAATCAGAAAGCTTTAGAAAACCAACATTTAGGAAACTGCCTGGGGAAAAAAAGTGCATAGGTAAATGAGTATTTATGCCATTCTACACATAATGAAGACATTAAAGTCCATGAAAATTCTGCCATTGACTTGAAGTGGTACTCAGATTTATTCTTAATGCTGAGGTGGAAATTTAGAGAGGGATTAGGAAATCTAGAATGCCCTCACATTACCACTGTTGAGAGCTGCACAAACTTCTGAATTCACTTTGTGTTGCTTTAGCTCTGAGTGCAAAGCAATGAAGGCAGATGAAACTAATCTGAAAGGAAGCTCCCTGTGTAAGTAAAAATCAGATATATAATTTACTTGTATAGATATTCTATTATGACTAGTAACAAAAATTGATCTGGTGGGAGTAAGATCTTCTCATCCCTTAGGCAGAAAGAATGCTCCGAAAATTTCCCCTGTTCCTGAAAATACTGGTCCTAGACCTGTCCCAGCTATAGCTGGAAATATTAGTTCTTAATAAAAGGGTGCCACCTAGATAATACTCTATGTTTTTATTTACATTAATCATTGTTCCTCTAAATTGTAAACTCTGTAAAATTTCTCGGTAGTTTTGCAAAATATGACTCTATTATCATAAAATAAATCAGCACATACCTACTGCTGGTCACTCTCATAAAGAGTGAAAGATAAAAGGGTCCCGTAATCAGTTCCCCCTTCACCTTTATGAAGAGTCACCAATGAGGAACTTAAGATATGAAATAGAATAAAGTATTTCTAAAATCACCATCACAAACAAAACTGGCAAACAACAAATTTATCTTGATAAAAGACAGCTTGCATTTGTAAACTATGTTATTCTAATTTTTATCTTAATTCCCTGTCTTTTCCTTTAATAAGATGCAAGGAAATGCAAGTGAGAAATTGAAGTTTTGTTCCATTACCTTTCATGTTAGACTAAAAGGCTTCAGCTCAGAAAACCACAAATGTGTACTTAAAATATTTGGGTTGAAGAGCACAGGAACAAGTAGAACAATAAAGATATGCTACGGGTAGCTCTGTGATTCAACAAACAGTGACAAAAAAATTATCACTGGTTAATAAAGTCAGCAGATATTACTATGGGTCAGGTTTATAAGAAAATGTGAATATCTAGGTTACACGCTCTCCTCTTGTTACATTCGTATTCACAAATCCAGCTGTTAACATCCCTTTGTTAGTATTGTTTCCTACAATTTTCAAGCTCTTTTTTACCAAATTAATTGTGAACTGTTACCTGCGTGGTTTTAAGTAAGAAGGAATATATGATTGTACCACATTGTGTTACTTTTTTGTGGGATCCTCTGCATCACCTTGTGATTAAGAGCTCAATCCAACTCCCACTGAAGTTAGTGCAAAGAATGATACAGAAGCCATGAATTATCTGTTATTACTGAAAAAAGACTGTAATATTAACACTTATGTAAGTAAATGACAACTGAAGTAATGACATCCTAAAATTGGGCAATAATGCTTAGGAGAACCAACAGGAAACAAATATTTTCTAATACTGAACAGGCAAAATCTGTTAAGTGGTTCCTCTGCTGTTACTATCTTTTTTTTTTCTTTTTTTCTAGGAAAAGATTAAACTGTTCAGAGAAAAAAGAATAATAAATAATTTTCTTTATATTAGCTAATGCAGAATGAGATCATTCAATGGAAAAGTATTTCAAGAGCCCATGGGAGCTGGAAACATTAAAAAAATCTGATATTTCAAAAGAAAAAAAGATTTCTTAATCAGCATAGTGTGGACAAAAATAATATCCAATAGCACATACACCACTTCACATAACACTTTATAACATAGGAAAGAATCAAGCAAAACCAACTATAGGGCATGAAAACAAAGAAAAATGACAACATATAATAATAAACATTGAAATGATCTTTTAAACCCTCAGAAATTGTGGTATGAGCTCAAAAGACAGAACTGGTTCTCCTGTGAGGAGAAAAAATTGCCCTCAAAAGTTTTAGGTAATTAGTGGTCAAAAATAAGATTAACTAGTTTGAATAATTCCAGATTTACTACAGGAGTACAGAATATAAATTTTGACAGAGGACAATAAAATTCAGCTTAGAGTCAGTATTGTCACATTTTTATTATATGCCCCTCCACACATTGCAGAACACATTTATAACATTTTTGTTATACAAAAATGAATGTTGTGTAAAGCACTGGTGGACAAGTTGATAGAAGATTGAATCCAATGTTCACTTGGATTTTTATGATTTTTTTGTACAAAAAAAACCACAAGAAACACTTCTTTTCCTGTCTGTGAATCCCTACTAAGAATAATGGTTTATTTTTTCTCTTTTTGGTGAAGGAGTCAGCCAGCTACTAATTTCAAGGTTAAATTAATCTTATCCAGTTTCATCATGTTATTCATATCTGCAAGTTTTGTCAGAAAAGATATCATATAAATACTATGTTATTTCTATAGTTCTGTTTATTCTGTATCCTATCTAAATAGGTTCTTCCAAAGTCATTTAAATGGGATTATTATTTTGAGAATACACATCGCCATAATGAGTTTTGATATCATTTCTGGTTTCCACTTTTCCATTTTCTGTAAAATAATTATAATTGAGAGACCATGAACATTTTTTTTAAGTAAAATGAATTGCACTTCTGGAGATAGGACATACCTATCACTGCCCCCCCACCTTCTACAAAATATTCCAACTTAAATTAATTCTAGGGAAGAAGAATAGGGCAGAAATAAAAGCCTTTCAGCACTATGTGAAATGGTGTAATGTGATGGCATGCTAATTATAGTCAGAAATGTTTCAAATACATAATAGCTATGCTCATTCTGAAAAAAAAAAAAAAAAAAAAAAAAGCTGGCAGAATTCTTGACAGTGCATTCCAGAACTCCAACATTTGTAGGCATTGGACATACCTGCTTTCTCTTTTTTCCGACTTGTATTCTATGGCTATCATTAAGAGCTTTAGTTTCGCAAACACCAGTCTGCAGGAAGAGAAGCCAAGAGTTAGTCCTTTTTCACAACCAACTTCACGTATGTAGAGATGGCTGCAGGGTACGTATTTTCTTACACTAAGAGAACTTAGACTGACGTCTTTTCCCATTATTTCAGTTAGGTATGTACAGACACATATTAAGGCCTTTCCATTTCGAAGTTAATGAACACATATTTTCCTAAAACTATAAACTGACAAGTTGAGAACAGTAGCATAAGCACCAACACTACCTTACTAAGTCTACTTAATCAATAATAACAAGGGTCATGATACACAACATAAAATTGCATTTGGCTATCGTTTTGGATGTTTGGAAATTTTTCAAAACTTTGCTGGAATTCAGCCATGTGTTGACTGTAGCATGCATTCCTTAGAAAATATATATGTACTGAAATAAAATGAGAGTACACTATTAATAAGTCAATATTTGCCAACTACTGTCACAGAGGAACTGCATGACTGGAAGCAGTTTCTGACCAATATTTGGGAAGTACATTCTGATACTGTAATACACATTTTTTTTTTCAATTGTAAAAGTCTGTACAAGTGACTATTTATTACAAGTCAAAGTTGATATTCGTAGACTTGCAGAACTATGAGTTAGCATAATACCATTTCCTTCAAGCTAGTAGGCTTTCTGTGAATAAACAAAGAAACCAAGCATTATTTTAAAATAACTAGAAAGCATTTTCCAATTCTGTTATTGAAGTGTATGTAAATTCAATGCTACTTGTGTCCTGTTCTATGAACTTGTCACAAACTGTTCTAGGGATCAGTTTTCAATTAGATAAATGTACTGTATTGTGCACTCACTTTTCCAGTGCTTAGTGCTTCTCTATAAACTTTCTTCCTTCAGTGCTATTAATATTTTTTCATATATTTTGAGAATATTTATTTTTTAAGCAAATCTAAGCAATACTCTGCATACTTTTTGCTATCTTTCTGAGGAGTAAATAGTAAGTCAATGGTCTTACGTAAGATAAACAGCATTCTGTGAAAGGATAAGAAACCCTAACAGGTCAGCTTAGAAATATAGAAGCACTTCATACAAGTTAATTATTTGTTGCAGTTACAGCCAGTGGCTGCTGACAAGAACAAGAGCAGGTGACCAAATAAATTTGCTGCTCACAGTAGTAGATAACACTACCATTCCTAGGACAGTAGTGAGAATGTGAGCTGAATATTTAATAGGTTTTGGTTGTTGACATGTCTGTCTGTTATGAAAACATTGAACTTAAGAAATGTCAGTACAAAACACTACATTGATTTTTTCTATTTCCCATACCAAATATATATATATTTTTTTTTACAAGATAGTTCCTGATTTGAAATGCAAAGGAAGCACTGTAATGTCTTGTAGAATGCATTCATAAACACTTGGCTAAAGGGTTTCCTAAATATTTGTCTTTCGTAACTTTTATGTACTTATCCTGCTAAAATAAATTCTATAATTCCACTGTTCTTTCTGGCTCACATTAAAGCTGACCATGTTGGAATAAGAAAACTAAGTTAGTATATTGTTCCTATAAGAGCTCTACTGAAGGTCTCAAGCACAAAGAAGCCAAGCTTGCTTAAAAAAATAGGTATTGTTAGTTTTCTAGGTATGAACAGGAAACATAGCTGCTACATATAAAGAGTTTTGAAAATCTGTCTAGTAATTACTAACATCCTAATTATTGCTTGTACCAAGTGTAGTAAAATGCAGGTTATCCAAAACCACGGTGTAAGCATTTACAATAATAACATAGTACTCCATACTTTAAACGCCACTCATTTAGTTTCAGGGTTTTAAAACGTCATTGTCTACATGAATTTTAAAAGCTAAATCACAAAATCTGTTCTCAATGTTTGTATATTCTGTGAATAATTCATCACACTAAGCCTGTCCACTGATTTTATTTCCCCTTCAAAAACCAATGCAATGGACTTTTTGCTGTCCTTTGGTTCTTCCAGAAATTGAATAGCCAGTTCTCATGGTAATGAAAATACTTATGGACCAAACTCATAAATATTTAACACTACATTTTAATGTTCAATGTGCTTTAATTAATGTGAATTTAATAGAGTTATTAAACTGTTGGAAAATTTGAGATACAGCTTTTTCTTTAATTTAAACTAGAAAACATAATTAATTAAGCCTCCAGATAACCAAATGCTTAAGGACAGCTCCAAAGTTTAGACACGTTTCTAAAACTCAACAAATGCCCTTTCTTTATTGATTATTTTATCACAGCTCTATCAGCACAGTTAAATAAATGTCAGCTTTATGTCAAATACAGTCTCAGTCACATGTTTCTAAGAACTCATATAGAAACTCAACTAAGTTTGACAATGGTTTGGCATGGAGATTTAGGTTTCAAGATTGGAGTTAGTGCAAACAGCACAAATTACCATTCATTCTGAATATAATACATATTTCTAGAACACTTTATGATATTTTCTAGTTCAATATATCCAGGCAAAGTTTCATGCTTGTAGTAATAAAGATTTTTCCCTCAATAACCTAGTAACAGTTTAGTTAACACAGTGGAGGGACGGATTGTGAGCCCCCGTCATTTTACTAGCAAATTGAAGACTAGTCTCTGTCATGGCAATATCCCAGAAAAAGACAGCTTTTTAAATGGATAACATTTGTCTAACAGTTGTTTCTCCCTAATTCTTATGCCATAACTTATGCTTATGCTACTGTAAAAATCAGAAAAGGTGGGAGAACTGAGGAGTTAAAACAAAATCATTCTCCTTTACATAAGAGATGATATCTTATTCACTCGTTAAAAGTGGTTTGCAACCAGTTTCACAGAGCTCTGGATGGCACACTGCTTATATGACTCCACTAAATCAATTTCAATTAATGAATAGTTTCCTTGGGATAGGATATAAGCCAAGACAGTGACACTGACAACTACTATTCAAAGAACAGGAATCACTAGAAGAAACAATAAGACAGCACTTACGAATAAATAACTCTATTTAAATGGATTGCTGATTAATTTGTTCAACACTGAAAACATTTATGCTTTCATTTACAATCACTTAATTCCAAATCTTTTCTGAAAACAGACATTACAATGTTTGGAATAATTCTATACAGTGATTGCTTTAATGTTTATTTCATTGGATCCCACCTGATGTAGCAACATTAGGACTGTAGCAGAGTGAAAAGGTCTCCTGCAGAAACCTTAGATTTCACTTGAGACAAGGCAAATACCAATGTTTATTAATATGTATTTGTACTTACTCACAAACTGCAGGGAAGGACAAACCCACAAAGGCACTAGACAGATATTCTGTATACATTTCATTTGCAACTCCTTCCAGGTAGTATTTCTGCCACGTATCCTCCTCAATCTAAAACAAAGAAACACAGATGCCAAGTTCTGAGTAAAACTAAAACCTTTCTTTAAAATTTATGAACAACTGTTTAAACATTAATCAAATAAGTGAGTAGACTGTTATGGCAATTAATATTGCTTAATTGTACAGGATTTCCTGGAATGTAAAAAAAAAAAAAAAAAGAAAAGAAAGAGTAGTCACTAAATCAAGTATTCTATGTAAAAATAATACACTCAATTCTTGGCAAGCACATTCAGCACAAGGTGAAATAAGATTGTAAAGAGTTTCAGGAAAAAAGTTCTCAATTTCTCTTTCTGAAATTCTCAAGTTGCTGCATTATATTGTTATTTGAGTCTCTCTAACAATGTTTCAATTATTTTCACTTTGTTTAGATGTTGATCAGCACTCAAAACATAATTTAAAATTGTAATTTTTTTTTTCTTCTCTGAATCTATGACTAACATCGAAAACCTACATATATTGAAACAATTTCTTCAGTGGTCATTGGTACTTTAGGACAAAAACCGAACAAAACCTTTACTGCTAAATTCAGAGATCTTTTACTGTTGAAGGTATAAAGGAAAACAAGTCAGAGATGCTACACGACTACCACAAAAAGCTCAATATATTTGCCTAAGCAGAAGTTTCTAGTAATATTTCATGCAATCTCACTTAGCTTCACAGGCCTTGACATATCTATAAATCTTATGTCTCAGACACTCTACAAAGTCTTTCAATAAGCATCAAACACCTATCTTAAGTAACTGGATTGAGCCACTTAGTACCCTTCATACAGACCTCTTGTCTTCCCACTAATCAGGATAATCTGTGAAAAAGTGTCTAAATCATGTTAGGAAAAAATTCACCTTTAAATATTTTAAGAGACAGCAAAACCAATTCCATGTCAAACTAGCATTTTATGGATAGCCAGTACCGAAATACTGAGGGATGCAGTACTATGTCATACTAAATTCAGTGAGCAAAACCAGGATTATATTATTTATCACCACATAATAAAGCAACAGCCACATTAAAAGGCTTCAGAAAGGGAATTACAGCTGAGCCTCTGGTTGCAGAAGCACATGTTAGTAGCACAGTGTCCTAGAAGCAGATGTAAGAGCTACAGCTCTACTAATTGTTTAATTAAAATAAGCATTTTCATACCATGTCCATACATGGCTTGTATTGAAATGCTATAATCATCAGGATGCTGAGCTTTTCAAACTCTTTCACAGCTTAAAAGCACCTCTTCCCTGTAACAGCCTGATCCACAGCTCATTTAAACCACTCGAAATTTCTCTACCAATTCTGACATGCTTAGGATCATTGTCTGAACAGCACAAAGCAGAAACAAGTGTGTTTTGACATAATGATTTAACTTAAACAAAATAAAATATTTCTCAGATTATATAAGTATTATGTCATATTATTACATAAATGTATTATATTGTTATACTACTGAATATTACTATTAATTTTATATTATTATATAGTATTTTAGAGTATAAAATCACTTTCATTGGAATTTGGTATGACATTAACCTCTCTTGGATAAATAATTTTCCAATATTAAAAATTTTGAATTTCACAGCTATTTTGACAGGACTCGTATAGTATTTTATGTAAGTTTGCATTTTTCTCTTACAGGCTGAGTATTAATGTATCCATGTTAAACTAATCAAAAGGCACTCTTTCGAAAGAATCTTTTAAAAAACAGAAGGATTGGAAACTTTTTAAGAAACCAGTCAAATATAAAAAGAAATAAATTCATTGTAAGTTATTTTTTTTCTCTTGTTGATAGGTTTCCAGGTAACTAGTTACTTTGTTGGAGTAGTTGGAGAAGTAAACAACTGCAAGAATAAATGGCAATACGGAGACGTACCAAATCATACTCTCCCTGATAAGTGGGCTGCCAGCAATCAAGAGAAATTTCTTCCATAGAAATTGTTTCACCATTCAGAGATCGTGTGGGATGCTAAAAGGGGTTTGCATTGTGTTATCCTCCACCACACACAGAGAAGTCATATCACATTTTTTTATAACCCTTTGATTTGTATGAAGCTTGCAAATGTTGCTGATCAGCAACTCTTTATATACAGAAAACAGATAAAGTACAGGCTTGGTAAAAAATATGAGTAATGATAGCAAGGACATGTTTTATCTTATGGTCTATTTTGTGGCTTTTCCTTAGATTGACACCACCTGGGGTTGGAAAAAATATACAAATACATGATGTGTTTCTCCTTTCTACTTTGTTCCATTGCTTTCTTTTATTTAGGCAGATGGTTTTGATTTGGAGGAAGGAACTGCAGATCAGACCTATAGTCAAGGACCAAGAAAGGACTAGAAAAATCCAAACTCATTCACAAAGCAATGACCAAGCTTCATGACACTGGTTAGCGTTAAATTAGCCTTCTTGAAGTGATTGGAATGTTTAAGACATATTCTGTTAGGATACAATGATACGTTGATGAATTAATTTTAGAAAATGGTAATATTTGGGATGCTATAAAATGCGATTTTAAGATAATGAAAATAATGGGCTAAAGATGATTTTTGCATTTTATCTCCACCTCAACCAGAATGTTTTCCCTGTGATTTCAAAGAGGGTCACCTGCTGGTCTGCTAGAAATTAAACAATTATTAAGAAGCTCCAGTAATCACTACTTCTTTCCTTGAGTCTTGCAGTTACCCTGAATTTTAATAGAGTAAGGTTCCACAGATAAACACAGTCAGTTTCTCTTATAATCTTCAGTGCAGAAAACATAACCAACAAACATCCTTGATACTATTGGGTTCCTGCTACCATTTATTCTTTTCCCTTTTACCTCTTCTCATTTCTTGCATGTTATCTCTGTTTTCATTTAGCCTCATACATAGGCCTCTACAGACCTTATAACTGTTGAATGAGGACACAATAATTGATCAAGGACAATTCTATTCCCTTTTATTTTTACTCATCAAATATTGTACACCTCAAGCACATAACCAAGCAATGAAACAAGGCACTTCTACATGCCTTTCCTTACAGAAAATGAGCATCTCTCTTTATGGAAGACCTTCCCATGCATGATCCTAAGGAGAGGGCTTTGCAGGTCATTCTGTTATTTTTATCTCTGAAGTTAAATAACTAACAACTTTAAGTTGATACTGCAGCAACATGACAGCAAAATGTTAACACAGGATGATGAGTTGGTACAAACAGTAGAAAGTAGGTTTTTTTTATTCAGAGATATTACAAACTTAAGAGGAAATATTAAAAAATAGCAACAAAAATTTAAGTTATTCCAATCACAGCTAGGAAGAAAGAGAAAGAGTTTAAGTAATTGCTGGACCTCATACAGAATGTGCCATACCACCACAGTGACTTGAATCTATACTTTAAAAGTTCCTCTCCAGTACTGTAAGCATGTGGTTATCTTCCCCTGGCTATGTTACACTGCAATTCTGTCTCCTAGATAGTCATAAAACAAATTATCCACTGATTCAATAGCCTATATGAAGAATAGCTAGAAAATGACAGTGTATCCCAAGAGAAGAAATCTAATTTTCATCTGTATGCTTTTTTAAGTTGCAATGCTCCTCTGCTCTCCTCTATGTATATACAGATACAATGTTGTTATCAGCAATATATTTACATAATACAATAATTTCCTAGTGAGACATGGTGACAGAGAGATGAAAAAACGATGTACATCTTGCAAGCACAACCATTCGTAATGCCTGGAAAAAAACTAAACCCTTAATACATCCAGTCCTACCCCCTGGCAATGTAATTATCAGGAGCTCCGTAGCCCCAACTGATTTATCTTGTTCATACCATTTGCTTCTCCATGGAATGACGCAAATAGTTACATGAACAAGATTGAGTATATCGAACCCTGATAATGCTAGATAATCTCTCCTGTCAAGATCTAAGCCTCACTATCAAGACAGAGAACTAACGTTAGAATTGTAGTGTGACCTCAGATCTTTTATTACATTTTGCAAGGAAAAACAGGGAGAGGATGGTGAGGTGTCTCTATAAATATTAAGGAAGTGACAAAATGAAAATTCCTTTATAGCACAATGAAAGCAGCTGTAAAGTCTGCTCCCTATCACAGAATCGGCTCAGCTCACCACCACCAAGGAAAGAGAACAAAACAGTACAACATCTTTGAGAATAATTTCAGATGTTTGGAAGAAGATCAGCCATTTGATATTTTAAGACATATATTTACTTTTATAAACAACCCTATCTATATGACTAATAAAAAAAAACCCTCCACAAAACCTACAAACTGCAGTAAATCAATGAGTTAATTCTACTGATTATCTTTCTAGAATAGCACTTGAATATTTTAGTTCTGTTACAAAAATGATACTGTTTTATTTTAATGGTCTAACTTTGTCAGTATGCAGTACTTTGGCTAAGAGCACACAAGTCAGAAATTCTGAACGGTCTTCCCAACATTTTAAGGTTTCTATAAAAAAAATAAATAATGTGTTGTGTAAGCAACATGAAAGTTGTTACTATTTCCTTTCTAAAATACATATAAACACATATAAAACTTTCTCTTCAAAGATGACCAGAAGGCCATGTAGAGAAATGTTTCACAAAATATTTTAGAAAATAACATCTTCACTAGGGCAAGTTTCTTGAGTCCTTGGCCAAGCTGTTTTCATCTACATCCATCTAACATAAGGACTCCTGCCTTCCCCTAGGCTCACAACACTTCCAGGGCTTCTTGATATTTAATTTTGCAATTCTCTTCTCTACAGCATTGTGGGGTTTTGCCTAACGACATAGATAAGAATAAAAAGAAAGTACACACAGAATATTCTTGATTCGTAATTGAAAAGTAGCTGTACATTGACAGCAGTGTATTTTAAACATTTCCTCATGTTCACCTATAATGCCCTTTCAGTCCACCCAAATTGCTTATGTAAATGTCTGCTTTTATTACGCCTTTAGATATGGATATCAAAATCTGACAGATAAGTACTTGGCTGAAAGTAGTTCACACATTCCTAGCAAAGAGTGAAGCTTCTTATATTTACAGTCTTATAATTTAATTTCTTTAAATATTATAAATTATCAACTACCTCTTTACTCAATTCAATTGTCTGCTTAAATCAAAGGAAACAAGTATCCTCAGTGGCATAAAAATTTTACAACCTCACCCAACTATTCCCACAGTTCTTTCTGTATGCAAGAATGTTTTTTAAAATTGTCATGAAGAGAGTATATTTTATAAAACATCAAATATGCTAATTAAGATTAGCTCTAATTTCAAATGGAAATATATGCACTTTTTCATTGTTCATACTATTGTAGATTCTTGTAGTAAGTCAAAGAAGAGAGAATATTGTTGAAATATTATGACATCTAATTCTCCTTTAGATGCTGGCCTTGCTGGATTTGAACTTGAAGGCATACAGGCTCGACTTTTAATACTTTCAAATTTACAAAACAGAGCAGTATTTCTATCCAATCATAATGCAAAGATAGATTGGTGTTGATTTATTCACGTGATTAATTGAAAAATGCACTCCATGGTAGACTTCACTTTAAGACAAATACATCACTCTTATCACAAGGACTGACAGTATTTGTAAATAGCAAATGTTCTTCAACCGCAACAGTTTTTAATTCCTAACTCAATGATTAAAATATTTAACTTAGTCAGACCTTTAGAGAATAAATGTCTTTGGGAAGAACAGTTTATTATGCAGCCTCCTGAAGAACTTTGAGAAGTTGCATTGTCTCCTCATCTCCCTTTTAAAGTTCTCCTTCATTTGAAGAAATTCACTGTGCATACCCTAGTCTTAGACTTTAAAAGTCCAAAGCTGCCTAGGTGGCCAAAAATAAACAGCAAACCAGTTGATGTGTTTCATCAGTGTAGGTAAGCACCTGACTGATGTAAATCTGTGTGGTTTTATTACGTCTCTCTTTCAGCCTGGACTAGAAAGGAATATAATGGGACAAGTGGGCATTGCATATGTGTGGATGTGAGCAACAGCTGCCAAAATTGCCCACAGAACATTCCTGCTCTCAAAATAGCTTAGAGGAGAATTGAGACTGCTCTATATCATTTTTCAGATGTGGAATGAGGTGTACTGTCTTACCAACACAGCAACAACAAAACTAATTTGTTTGTGGACTTGTGTTACACTCGAGAACCACATTCCACACTTTATTAATTTACACAACAATACTAGATCATATTGGTTTGCATGACTCTATAAAGGGACAAAATTTGACCACCTCTGCCTTTTATTCTATTTACTCGCTCTTTGCAACGTTTTTCATATGAGTAGACTTCTGGTACACATTTGCTAATCCAAACAATACAGAAATTGCAGTACAGTATAGTATTTCCAGCTTTTTCTGAGACTCTGGTAATGCAGACTCCCAATTCCTTTAATAATACAACAATTATGACATTCTGCGCTATAAAAAGAATCAACTATTAAAATACGGTTTACAGGTGTAAAGTTGGGGTTTGGCTTTGGGTGGGTTGGTTTTTTTTTTTGCTTAACATATCATTTGTTGTGAAAACTTTCTTCTTTTAAGTGTTTACAGAACTTCAATCTTTTTGAGCTGATTTTTCTTTTTGTTTGGTTTGGTGCCAAAGAGAACATAAAAGATTCCACATGAGATTACATTGCTAAAACCAAAAGGAAAATATTAGGAACAAATATAATATTTTGAGGTTTCTGAGTTTGTTTTACCTCTAATACTGGGCAGACTGTTTACACAAATCATTTTGCTGTAAAGTAAGACATAATGAGTTAAATGTGTGCAATGTCACCATCAATCATGTTCAGTTGTGTTTGACTGACCAAACATTTATGGCACATTAAATCACTTTCTAATCATGTTATGAAGGAGGAGGAACAAACACACATTTCAAGATTTTTTTTTAAAAATACAGAAGTTTCAGTACATTTTCTTGGCAATCTCTTAACTTGTGGGAGACTCCACTAATAACATTTGCCCAAGGGGTTTATGAACATCTGATAGTACTTAAATTCGGTTCTCTAAATGAAAAGGGGTAGAAGTTCTTTTAGGGAATGGACATCTTTCTTTTCAATAGAGTCCTCTAACAATTCTAATCAATGTGTTTGCTCTCCTACAATTCACTGTTGATCCAGAGCCACCACTAAGTAATAGCTTTCTCTTTCAAATACAGTTTTAAGAGTGAGACAGCTTGGAGAAAGAATATCCCTTCAGCTAAATAAATTTAAAAAACATCTTTTGCTGTTGGCAATTGATTCTCATGAATAAGTACATCTCAGTTCTTGTACATTTATTTTGCTTTAGATTTTGAAATACTTAGAGATATTAGGAAATGACCATATGCATTTTACTTGTCAGGACAATTCCTTCTTAGTCAAGTAGCAGGCATCTTTTTAACCAGTACTAACAGAGTTTTGCATTCTCCCAATGCACTATTTGATGGCATTTTTCCTCTCAGTGCCATCGGAAGATGACATCTGAAGTAACACAAGTTCTGCAACTTGTGTTGCAAGTCTGCATCTTATTCTGTTTATAACGGTATATAATCACAGATACAAGAGCAAAAGTGACATTGATAGCTTCCTCCAAATCAAAATCATTGCTATTTTTATGCTCATTCTGCGTATATAGAAATACTCAGATGTAACCTGAGTAGTGCTTGAGTCTTCAGCTTAAAACTGTTCATCAGTGAGATAGTCCAATCTGTCACTGGCTTTTTTTTTGACTATATGTAATATTCTCGAATAGTTTTGATACACAATAGTCTGCTGTCTCCAAATTTTTGGAGGTCTCCAAACAATACCTAAATAAGGAATTCAGGACTTCATAAGAAGCAAATAAAGACTCACTGGCCTGTACTGATATATGAACAATCCTGTCTTTCTCACCTGAAGACATAAGGTTTTTTCTTTTTTGCTTACTTGCACAACAGACTTGAAGTGGACCATGGCCTGCCTTGTACTCCAGAGTTTCCCGTCCCAGTAATAACACTCATGGGATTGGGAACTGACCATCCTTTATGTTTGGAATCAGTGTCCCAGAAAGGCACTGAAGGAAGGATGCACTGATTGCTGCAGTGAACTAGTACAGCTGTCATAGAAGTCTAGGAATAACCGGATTAAACTTTTACCACATAAATCCAAAAGAGCCTTTGACTGAGGAGAAACAAATACATGAATGATGCTGTAGGAAGTTCAGGCTTCAGTTCCAACACATGTTCCTTATTTACTCTCACAGTCAGAGGTCCACTACCCACTTGAAGTAAAAGACCAAAATGATCAGTCCTTTTTTCTGGGTATTTTGTTGCTATACGGGACATGTGTAAATCATATTTTTGTTTTAGCAGTAGGGGCTTTTCTCATAGATAAACATGTGTTTTCTCTAAAACAAAGCAAAACACAAAACACCAGAAGTATCTCCATAGAAATGGATGGTGGGATGGTGCTTTGAACAATGATTTAAAGGCCAAACACCTGCTGAATAAAAATAAAAACATAACTTGACAGAACCTGGCTCATTGCCCAATTTGCAGCAGTTTTGTATGTAAGTGTGTGCTGTTTTGTTTTGGGTTTTTTTGTCTTACAAAATCTGTTAATATGTTCCTATCTGTTTCATATTTGAACCATGTTCTCTACTCAGCTCTCTGACAAACTGAATTGTGGACTCATACATACTAATGAGACAAGACATTACCTTTATGAATGACCTCATAGAAAAGAGGTTGGCTAACATTGTTGAAAGGCCCGGTGCCAGGCAGCTCTGGGCTATGAAACCCAGCTTGAGCTCAGCAAGACAGATTGCATCATCCCCTTCTTTCCAGTTCCAGCTTGGGATATTTAGCAGATGAGCCTGGAAAACAAACAAAAAACCCTCAACCCCACTGGTGAAGAACTCAAGTATTTCCTCAAATACAGTACAGTATTGAAGGAGACAGTGGTGAATTATTTTCTTTGTTACTGGCTTGACTTTTTCTGGGTAGACTATCACTCCAAGTATTTTAGAGTTTAAGTCTATGCTAAGAAATGTTCCAATCTTACCTATTATAGACAAAATCTTACATTTCTCGAGCCATATCCTGGCTGTGACACTCAGCCAGGCCTATCCTCACACCCGAATGAACCACCAAACGTTGTAAAGTTTTCCTCCCCTTCTGTGTTTTCCTTTTTACAGCACTTTGAGCTACTCTCTGACTGATAAGGCACGTAAATAATACACAGGAATATAATGCAACTTAGATTACTTGTCTGAAGCTGCAAAGGTTTCAAGACATTGTCATTTAATAAGGTAAACAACATCTTCTGTCTTTTCTATTTCATTCTTTCCACCCTGAAGGATAGCAGCACTTGATTCAGTGAAAATCAAAACTTTTTCCCAAGACTGCTATTTTAAAAATAGAATAATGAAAATAGCTGACCAAGACAGACCTGCAGTATTGACACTGGTCAATTAGACAGGTATTAATATTGTTCAGCTATCGGCATAACTCTATCAGATTGTCTTTTCCATCCACCTTCTACAAATGTGTAAGGACATCAGGAATCACAGAGGCCTTCACACTTGTTTCCCTTCATAAATTAATCTCACAGTTCAGAGCTTTGATAAAAGCTGTTCTTCAAGACAAATTGATTAGAAATACAAAGGAAAAAATGCAGTTTTTGAAAGATCCTCTGGAACCTGTTTAAAGCAGAGAAACACCTTGCTCTTGTTCTATAAAAAGACAAGCTCCTTCTATTCACGTACAGGAAGAGGGCATCACAAGCAACTGTAATTGCTCTTGTTCTGGCCAAAGGTTACAGATATAAGGACCTGTGAGCAGTCAAATCTTCTGAACACCAGGATTATTGTATTTCATTGAATGAAGGTCGACCCAGCCAAGCTTTTTCTCCAACACTGGTCACTAGTTGAGACTTTTCAAAATAATAAAAGAAGCAGGTCACATATGAGTAGTCTGCCCTCTCTATGTTCTTCCTAGCCCTGTTAATCAGCAGTTTATAGACTTTCTCATTTCAGGATTGAATGGATTGACTTCATTACGTTTAAAGGTGACAGATTTACCATCAAAAATTTGCCAAATTCCTTTCCAATGCAGAATTATAATTTTGATCCCCACAATATTTTAAGGAACAAATTCCACAACCAAAGTCTGCTTTATATGAAAAAACACTTAATTACATTTATTTTGTACCTGCTGCCTGGCAATTTCAGGTTCTACATTGTCATGCCAAAAACATAAAATCACAACACATCTCCAATAAGACAATAATTCTATACTTTTTTTTTTTTTTAAGTATTCACAAAGAACTGACTTCAGATGACTTGCCTAGAGGCCACCGATCCATCTTGGGTAGCTCCAGTGTAACAAAATGAGCAAAACTCATAGAACCCAAGTGGTTAAAGCTTGTCTGGAATCAATAGGAACTACAGACACCGTAAGCTTTGCAAATTAGACCCTAAGCAACTAATAATGTCAGAGGATTTTGATAAGGTCCCTTGCATATATAGATAAAATGGAATTACCTTGAAACTGGATTACATGACAAGGCTTAGTAGGAGGGTTTTGTTTGGAAAGAAAAATGTAAGTATTCACAAAGAACTGACTTCAGATGACTTGCCTAGAGGCCACCGATCCATCTTGGGTAGCTCCAGTGTAACAAAATGAGCAAAACTCATAGAACCCAAGTGGTTAAAGCTTGTCTGGAATCAATAGGAACTACAGACACCGTAAGCTTTGCAAATTAGACCCTAAGCAACTAATAATGTCAGAGGATTTTGATAAGGTCCCTTGCATATATAGATAAAATGGAATTACCTTGAAACTGGATTACATGACAAGGCTTAGTAGGAGGGTTTTGTTTGGAAAGTAAAATGCTTATTATTAGTGGAGGTAGAAAAATTGTATGAGTGAAGGTAATGTAGCAAATGTAGCAAAAAACTCTGGGGAGAGACACTGTTGGTTGCCACGTTACCTTATTGTGATACTGCAACATCTGAGTGATAATTCTTATCTTCGGATGATAATTCTTTATTGAAATAACTCTAAAAAATACAAGAAAAAACAAAATAACTTGTAGCTGGTGGGATATTTGGATAACTTATCCCAATACCTTTATTGTGTTGTCAAGTCTGACAATTAAAACTGTACCCTCTTATTCATCTGGCTGTAAAGCATACAATTGAAGTTAGACCTATGCAATATTTACTTCTAGTCAAATTAGGTTAATAACCATCAGCTACTATTATACAATGTCACATTTCAGGAATTATTCAGTTGAATGGTTTACTCTTATGGAATTTGCAAAAAAAAAGAGATTTGTGTTAGCAGCTCTGCTCAGACACTGTAGTCATTCTGTTAAGCAAATAATACACTTGCAATTATTGTGTCATCTTCAGTGATTATCTTCACATCTTTGATCAACAACATTGATCATGGTTTTCAATGATGTCTGAAAAGAATCCCTTTCTGCCCCACCACATATTATTTATTTATAGTTGCTAGACATTCATCATATTTAAACACCTTGAATAATAATTTTCTTTTACATAAATCCACATGCAAATTCATCTTAATTTTTATGGATTGTTCCATAAAGCTCAATATTGAAACTGATATCTGAACTCTGAATTTATAAAATATGGGGCTAATTCCATAATTTGCAGCTTGACTGCATTCTTAATTATTTAATGAGCCTAAGATAGACACAAGTGTGTACAGATTTAAGGTGACTGCAAAGAAAAATGCTTGAGAAACGAGTGGATTCATAACATGTTATGAAGAGAGGAACAGCCAATTCAAAAATCAAAAAAAAGCATTGAGTAAAATTAAATTAAAAAAAAGGCCATAAATCAGTTCTGTATATACAAACTAAAGGTAGAAGAAGAAGATAAAACCATCAAAACAAAAAATAATGTGAATTATTATGGAATCACCAGTCTCATAAAACTCTGAATGCCATAACTGTTTACTTTGGTGTTTTGCAGAAAGTATCTTGCAAACTACTGCTCTGGCTTGCACTTTGAAGCATATCAATGCTAGAAAATTAAACAGGTAATCAAAGTTGTATGCATGATTTAAATTTATGTTATCTTTTGGAAGGAGAAAACAAGTCTTCCTTCTAATTTTCCATTTCTTACTGAATTATTTAATTAAACATCTCATTTTGTTGAAGTAAATTCATTTAAATGTGAGAAAACACAAGAGAATTCCACTCTCAAAATAACACTTTTGCATGTTATTACATTAAATGTATTACATCGATTAAGAATGCACTAATGTGCAACTGGAATATTTCTAATGTATTTATGCAAATAATGACAAAATAAAGTTTCTTGCATTGAAACTCAAAAGCATGTTTGGAAAACGAAATTATGCATATTTAAGTCCTGCATCATCCACAGACAGTCAAGGTCTCTTGCACCCAGTGAACTTCTTTCGGAAGAGCGATGTTATGAATTTTTTTTCTTTTATTAATTTCTCCTGTTCCTTCAATTCACAGCAAACAAAGATCTAAAAGGCCAGTAAAATCAGCCCGCAATGCTAGCCAATTCTGTCTTAGAGGTTTTAATCAACAATTGACATTTTAACCTTAAAAAGGAGACACTGGCCTCGTTAGGACTAGGGTTGTATGAACAAAACACAAAAAATGGAATAACTTAGCTTTGTTGTAACTCTAGCTGTCATCTACTGAATGACTCGTCTTCTTCCCTCAGAGAATATAAGGAGGAAAGCAGGACAAGATCTGATGGTCCCTAATGTGTTAAGTGCCTTGTAAATCAAAATAAGAAATGTTTGGTCTTCAGTGTAAAAAAGGAGGATGGAGCCAAGACCACTGTATTGTCACTGTCATGAAGCGTATTGGCTGCTTTCCCCCAAGCAATGGAATTACTTGTAGAACCAGATATACCAAGGAGCAATGAGGTATGAAGTTATTAAGGATCCTTTTGTCCCATCATTAACACCAGCCCACACAGCACATGCACTCATGTAACACATTGGTACCACAACATAACTGCATTCCCTTTCCCCTCATTTCTATTGGGGCTGTGTTCAGCTCTGAATACTTAAATACTTACACTCTAGGTTTTGCAAAATGACTGAGTACCAAAGATTGTGTGCCAAAGTGTCTCTTCTGACACAGGCTTTCTAAAGCAGCTAAATTTAAACAGTTCAGGCTGAATTTAGGGCACCCTCATCTCTGAATTTCTGAGTCATCTCTGAACTTCTGAGACAATCTCAATGTTCTTCAAGTGCAAGAGACCAGCAATAAAGCTGTGTGTGTGTGGCTATAGCTTATCTGGACACCAGAAGTTAGCTAATCAGAGTTAAGAATCAAAAACCTATTAAAAATGAATGTGTTTACCTCATAATATTGGAGGCATCTTCAGCATCTGGGTCAGCGCAGTATTTATTGGCAAGGATTAGGCACGCATCTGCTGACTCTATCTGAGACACCAAAGAAAAAGCAAAACATAAATAGCAACCTCTCTTTCCAGCTCTTCTTTCATCATAAAGTATTATGGAATCCAACACCACCATCATGAGTGTGAAAGTCACTTCTTAATACTGCTAATCAAAAATGTTACACGGCTAATGTGACTTACTGTGATGATAACAGCTCTCATATACACATAGCAATTTCATGAAAGCTGCTTATAATGCTCAGACCGGCTCAGTAGTTCAATTATTGACTCTTATATCAGCTGAGGCATGAAGGTATTTGTAACCAGATACTAAAATTTAGACTCCTAAATCCATAGGAAGTTTCTGGCACACAGGTACAGTGCTCCCACAAGTCCTTCAGCTTTCTTTGGGAATTTAAGAACTTTCCTCTTAGAGACAGGACAAGGTGGCTAAACTGACAATTTAGAACCTGAGCATCAGTTTTAGAAAGCACGAGGAGAACTGATCTGTTCACAGGACCTCTATGTTCACACAAATCTTAGCTCTACTTAACTGAAAGCAGATGACAAAAGTATTTTTCAGTGTATACAACCAAATACCAACACAAAGAAGGGTGGAATACAGAACACAAAATACCAACACACAATTTTATGGTCATAATTAGAACCTTTTGTTTCGATGAACTGAAACAGTTTGTGTTGAGCTACAAAAGGTTAAGCAATTTCTACAGACCAAGTGGACCAAAGACACGATTAATTCTCCAGAAAGTGTTATGATTGCACTAAAATATTCTTGGCTTAAGTAGCCAGTTTACATGCCATTAGGAAAAAAGAAAAAAAAAAAGAAACATAAAAGAGTTTGTGCTATATCTGACAGCTCACCATCTTTTTTTTTTTATTTATATAGGCTTCATGCTTTGCTTTAAAAGTACAAAATAATTTACCATAAAGAATTCTAGACAATAAAACCATCTCATATTAGGTACCTACCAAAAATCTTAATTTTGTTTTGTTTTATTTTTAGGATTCTAGACAATAGAAAAAAGGGTTTGACAGGTGAAAAATTATTTTCCAATCATTCTGATGAAGGTAAGACAATTTTAAGCAATTACTGTAAGACAATGTTCTATTATATCAACGATTAATGTAAAATAGACTCCTGAACTAAACCCCAGAGAAAAATTCACAGAGCTCAGTGGAATGGCAGTCAATGCCTCTTAAGTCACAGCATTACTGTAGCTTTGAAGATCTAAAGATATAGGGAAAACAAGGTTTATAAGGATATATATTATAATTTATTAGGCAAGCTAATAGAGATGGAAAAACAATATGTTGGGGTTACAAGAAGAGGAGCTTTACTGTTTTTTTCCAAATAATGCAATGAGTACTTTAAAAAAAGTCAAATAGCAGAACAGAACAACAGAGCTGTTACCTTCACTCTCGCCAGGTCATGGGGATTAAGGACTGAACCCTGATAAAATTCCACCTGAGTGAAGTGTCGTTTAAAAAGAGCTTCCAGCTCAAGGTTAGGGGAGATACTGCATTGGGAAGAGGAAGAAAACACAAGAGAAAATGAGAAGTCAGTTTCCGTAACCGCCCCATTTCCTTCATTTATAAACCAAACCTTTTATTTATTTTAGGTATTCAGACTTCTGCTGATGCTTTTCCTGTGGTGTGGGAGCAGTGTGCAGTACTTTAAAGTCAAATACAATATTGCTTTCACTTCCTTCTGTCTATAGAGCTTCTGGCCCATTACATTATTCTACTCTGCATTTTCATCATTTGCCAGTTTTTCACAGAAGTGAACCCAGAAGAATTGGTGCAAATGCTTGAAAGCTTCCTCATACAGCATTCTTTACAGAAATTCTCCAGTAAGACAATCAATCTCAGCCTGGACCCACCACTCTCAAAAGAGCTGATTGCATCAGAGCACTCAGTGCAAAATTACTAAAAGCTGGAAAAGGAACTCTGCAGGGACCCTGTGGCCTTCATAAACTATGATTAAAAGATACATTATTATGTTGTGATTCTCTGTCTCATTTCATTTTGCCACAAACAAAGAAAATTAAATGTATCACAATCTATTATATAATGTGGTACCAACCTTGTAAACACCTTTTCTGATGCCACTCATTAAAACAGAAGAGATGTAATAGCTACACAGTAAGTGTATGAGATTATTGTCATGTCAGATGCTAAATTTAATAAGAAAATAAAACAGATGCATGCAAAAAATTGTCTGTGAAGGTACAGAAGAAAGTAGGCACAAACAAGTAGCCAGGTGCAAAACTCCCTTCATGTGCATATGCAGTTTCCTGATTCCTATCACCATACCTTGTGACTGTGGAAAACTGGATCTTTGCTCATCTCTGACAGTCAATTCTTGTTATTACTTAGAGAGGGGAACAAGCAAATATACAATATAGTTGCTTGAGGATATCATCTTTAGTTCAATTTTAAAGGACTAGATAAAAAAAAAATTGTGCAAGTCTTTAGTTCAATTTTAAAGGACTAGATAAAAAGAATTGTGCAAGTGCTGCTGATTCTTAGTTTTTCAGCTTCCAGTTGAATCATCACAAATGATTCTTTAACTTTTTAATCATTTTCCTTGACAAGAAGAAAAATGCAGAACTGGTGCTAAATGCAAAAATATTACTCATTCATAGCTTGCAACACCTCTAAACAGATGCCATTCCAGAGCAGAAAAGACATTTCACACTGTCTCTCTGTGTAACACTCTCTGTGTAGCTGCTATTTCAAACAGGTTGTCCCAAAAGCACACCTATTTGATGTTGTATTACATGTAACACAGAGCCTGCAACAAACAGCAATCACCTTAAGACACCTTTCCAAATCCCACAGCAGAAAGACACAAGAGGCTGCGTGTAAGTAGGTATATATGGGTAAAAGAGCAGTACTAATTATCACAGTGACAAGAACTTCTTTTCTATCTTCATTATCTCTGTAAAGTAATATATCTCATTTTCATCTGCACCTACATTTTTCTTTTTATAAATAGTTTGCAATATGAAATAAACATTTTTTTCTGAGCAAAATCAAAGGTGAAAATATGTTTTCAGGTAGCATAAGTTCATACTACAAACAGTATTTTTCACTAATTTTACTGATGTTAGCAATTTTGGTAGTTTCACTAGAAATATTTGCCACGAAAGATTCTCACATCTATTTATTAGTATTTCAATATTTTTAATTTCATAATTCTGTTGCTACTTCAACAATGTGCTTAGCTATCTACCTTACAATAGAAACAATTGTGTCTGAAGTCTGTCTGCTTGAAACACCTACACTTAGCAATGGGCTATAAAAAAATTGCAGAAAACAACTCTATTTTCAAAATACATCGTTAAGAAAAGTAATTGCAAACTTTAATTTTATGGTTGTTTGGAGCTTTAAAGATCCTCTGTCTTTCCCCCAAAAATACAGCTTAATTTAATGAATTTTAATAACAGATGATAAGACGAATCTTGAAAGATTACTCACTTATGCAGAAAGACGATTTCTACGTTGACATCATCCCTATCCTTGTGCAGGAAGTCCTTCAGGAAGTTGGACACACTTTCAAGTGTTATGTGACCACAGACAACTATGTGCCTGTTACAGAAAAATCAGAGTTAATCTTGCAAAGAAGGTAAAATGAGCAAGCACGACAGCAACGAAGGAAATACTAATTTATTGGCCAAAAAAGAGCATTAGTGTCTCCTTGATGTTTCTCTAGATCCTATTCCATGAAGTCAGAGAACAAAAACATCATTTCCAAAAGGTGCTTTGCAATTGCAAATACACATACACTCTCACTTGCAAAGACTACTTTTAACAAACCATTTGGCCAAGTTGTATTACACATTTAACAATAAGTGGCATCATTTATATATATATATATATATATGCTTATACACTGTATTAGCCAGTCACTTTCAAAGTCATATTTCTTTATTTTACACATCTTTCTTCACATTTTTACCTCCTATACTGAGATTTACTGCTTAAATTTTTGTTTTATGACATAATGCGACAGCAAATCTCCCTAAAATGATTCGATATTTATCCATGGCTGAAAGTAGATACTTATGCCAATGAAATGTATTGCACAAACCTTGCCAATTATAGGCCATAAGCAGTAAAAAAGAAATCTTTTTCATACCATAAATCCTACAAGGAGAGTACTTTATAACAAGAAATCATTATTTATTGCACCATTGCAAGATTGCTTAGACAATCAAAATTTGTACAAACTGTCATGTCATAAAGGTCCCTATCACTCCACATTTCCCTTAACAGATGTATCTGACCATGTAAGATGGAAGCACAATATATATCTACATGCACATTCTTGAATTCTACATATCTTAAATTCCGAGAGGCTGAAGAAAAAGCCTAGGAAATTGCACTCTTCCTGGATTAAGGGAGCTTTGCTCCTTTATTATTGTAAAGCAAAGTCCAAAAATTTATGATTAGAATATCCTACTTTGTCTCACAATTTCCTTCATGGAATAAACTCAAGCCCAGCTTTCAGTACTGTCATGGGCTTAAGACAGAGAGCGACTTCAACATGCCTATTGCTAACACTTCCAATTCCCACATCGCTCACAGAAATCAAAAGGAAGAACAAGGTGGCACAGATACAATTCCAGAGCTAACAGAAAGTCAGCTTCATTACAGTCATATAACCTATGCACAAACGCTACAAAAGCACAATTTCACAAACTTATTTGGCACTTGAGCTGCCAAATGTTAAGCAAAGTAATTCCATGAGTAAGAAGTAGCCCATCCAAATCTCACCTACTTCATAATTGGTCTGTGGAAAACTCAGTAAAGCAGAAACCTATTTGGCTGGAAACAACAAATAGGTGGCAGCAATTACTACTTATGCAATGGGCTATAATAGGAATCTGTTCTTGCTTCTTACTTGATGAAATGTGTGTGAAAAGCACATAGAACTCATTGGGAAAAGGATAATTATGCAGAACAAAGAATCATAGAATGGTTAGAGTTGGAAGGGACCTTAAAGATCATTGAGTTCCTACCCCCCTGCCAGGGGCAGGGACACCTCTGGCTAGACCAGGTTTCTCAAAGCCCCATCCAGCCTGACCTTGAATAAACCAGTAATATGCATCATGCAGTGAATAATTTCACCATCGTGTACTGTTACTTTCGCAGTGGTTCATATGGACACTAGAAAAGCAAAACACAATAAACTATTATACCACCTTATATATTGATCTCTATTGAACTATTATATACACCTTATGATATTGATCTCCTATTACCACTTTTATAAATAGTGTAGCACAGAGTTTTCAAGCTTTATTTAGAAATATGATAAACTCAAATACTCCTTTTGCATGAGTTAGTGACATCACCAGAACTCGGATGTAATTTTAGAAATAGCAGCTGTCAAAAACTTCAATGGTTTCGTTCTTTTTAGCAGGCAGGATTCTGAGTTGTTGGTTTGTATTTAACATAGACCTCAGTACTATGAACTTCTATTACTAAACTAGTTATATCCAGAGTATCTGCTTTGGCTTCAGTGAAATTTTGCTCAATTCCAACTTAAGTTTTTGGTGCAGTGTATATGTACAGAGCACTGAGTTCTCAGACTGTAAACACGTAAAACCACAAAAATCCCTGAGTTAAAGCCTTCCCATTTTATGAGATGGTAAGCACAACATCAGAAAACAAGACATAAAATATATTAGCTCATCCTTTTTTGGTGCAAGGGGTCCTTAAGAGTTTTCCTCTGGGATCTTTGCAGCTTGGCAGAGTTTGAAGCAGTCTCTGTACTGGATAAAACCATGCCTATATTTTCCCCTTCAGAAGCACCCTTCCTCGGTTTCCCTAGTGGTCAATTGCCTGAGCTGCCAGCACTGTGTGTGCACGTGTTATTGCACACACAGTTAGGTCAGGATAATAACCTTCAACACAGAAGGGTAAAATACGATTTCAAGCACTAGGATTTGCTGTGATGAATCTCCATCCAATATACCAATGTAAATGGAAAAACACAAGAAAGTTCAGATGCTGAAGAGATGTTTAGAACCTGAGTAGCTTATTAGATCTAAATTCTGAACAGACTATGTTTGATACACTATATTACACCAACATATTGGGAAATTCTGTCTAGTGGCATCCGGCAGCTAAAAATATTCATGTGTATGTGTATTATTTTCTTCAAGTGTTTCCATCTATTACTAATTAAGAAACTGAACCTTTCATTTCCATAGCTGATGCATTATTTTTCATAATAGAAATAATTTCTTCTAGTAGACAACTGCTTTATACAGATCCTGTGCCATTAGCTTCAGCAGGGGCTCTTCTTGAATGCTCTTGTGCTACACTGTATTCCTATGCAGAAAATTTACTTCTTTCCTGGGAGATTTCACTTCATATGGGTTCTTCTCTATCGTCAATTACAGTCTACATTTTAAAAATATGGGTAAACTGAAGAGAAAAACGACAAGCCAGATAGAGAATGCAACCCAAATTATTCTATTATAGGAGACATTTTCAAAGGATCAAAAGATTCAGGTTGAAAAAGACCTCCAAAGGTTATCTCCTCCAAAAACCTCGTGCTAAAAGCAGATGCGTTTGGTACAATAATTCAATCCTGTTACAATTCTCATTTAGTAGGGTTTCATAGCAATCTGCTCCAGTGAAAATAAACTGTTTGGCTGTCAAATACTCTTGCATATGAGCATCAGGACTGATTCTTTTGGAAATGTCAGAAAGCATCTGCACCATGGTTTCCTTTTAGCACTCTGATTTGGGGCTGGACATTATCTGTTCTTCTCTTCTTTGCTGTCCTTATATACTGCAAGACAGTGTCCTGAGCTGTGATTGCAACAAAACCTTCTGGTTTTCAAACAATATTTTCTGATGAGACACTTGCATTAATTTTTGGTTGAAAAATCCCCCCAAATACCTCCTTTTTAACGTAAATTATATTTTTGCTTAAAAGTAGAAGAAATTGAAACCAGATTTCCTGCTTGCCAAGAGTGTTATTAGCTACATTACTTAAGAAAACTTGGATACCTTGTTCCAACCTGTCCTGTATATGACTTGAAGATTTATAACTTTCTCTTTTTGTTCCAATAACCATTCACTTCCCATGTATCACTCATTTTCTTCCACGCAGTAAGAGTTTAAGTAAAGCCAACATACTGGATATCTTTTGCTTTCAGCTAGAGTTGGTTGATCAGAAAATACTGTAATAATAATTTGGGGTCAACAAAAATGTCTAACCTCTGCATTAAGCTTTTGTTTATGAAAAATCTCAAAAGTAATACAGTACTCAGCTAAATTATTATTATTTCCAATTATATATTTTTTTCATTCTTTAAAAATGAAATTTAGAAATTCATTTACAATACTGTAAACCACAATTCAGGAATTTACTTATTTTTATTGCTGATAAGCATTCAGGAGAATTAAGGTTTCTGTTAAGTAATAGTTACTGATATCATGTATCACAGGTGAAACTGGCATAAGATAGCAATGGCAATCCATATCACATGACGGTGATCCTGCAAACAGAATCTTTTACAGAGAATCAAAAGCTTATCAGGAGCCATATTCTATCAACCAATAAAACCAGACTAATCCATTCTCTGCCATATATACTTATCATTCTCAAAGCTAATTACAGTGACACAGTACAGTTCTACACAGTTGATTTCAGTTGTGATTCTATATAGTTGAAATTCTCTACACTACAAAATCTTTTTCCACTCAAGAACTGACACGATACATTTGCTAAAAATACACTAGCTTCTTATAAACTAAACAAAAATGTGGTAAAAGGTCCAAAGATACCACAGATACAAACAGTTTAAGGAAAGAAACAAAAATAAATAAACAAAAGTTAAAAAAAATTAGAATTCTGGCATGAGATAATTGAGAACATACACTTAATCTATATAAATAGTACTGTAAATGAAAACAGATCCACTGTGAATAGGATTCTTCAAAAAGGATCTTTGCATGGTTCTTCCTTCAGAGGACACAATACGAAAGGCAAATCTTTTGCCTGTTTATTTTGAAATAAATTATATCCATTCTATTGGAATAAGTATAAAGAACTTGAAAAAACTCACTTTAACTAGTCTGTCATAATAAATCAAAGATAATAAATACAAAATTCTGTTTAGCATTCAGTTGAATACATGCTGTTCACTTGTCAAGTAACTAAATGAAGTGTGGCACATATTGATCTAGATGTCTCTATAAAACTATAACATTTATATGAAACACATATGCTCAAATCTCTTTATGGTCTTTCTGCTTAGCGTTCTGATCATGCCTTCCTCTATCAACCATCTCAATTCTTTCTTTGTTTACCAGTAGCAGGCTGCTCTGCTTGAAGCAAACAGGTTCTTGTACAGTCTAACTGGTTTTCCTCAAGAAAGGATAAGTCTCAGTTGCTTTTTCTTATTAGGAAAAGTCAATAAATGCCAACAGAGACTATACATACGGTCTTCCTGTTTATCTATTAGTGGTATGCAGTCTTTAAATATATCAGTTTACAATACATTTCTAGCTGCTTGTGCTTTTTATGATGTACCTAACATAATTCAAGATTCTATCAATTCAGTTCA